ATAGGACCGAGCCCCGGGCGATGCGGCTCGAATTCGCCGGTTTCTCCGGCCTGCTCTGAGGAAGCTTGAGATGGCGAGTCCGCAGCAGGGGCAGTCTCGATAGGGGTCTTGGGCTTTTCATTGGAAGGCTGAATAGGCTCTACGGAGGGCAGATTCGCAGCCATGATAGCGGCAGGCTCTGCAGCTAGTCCCTCAATTGCCGGCGACGAAGACGGTTCCCGGGGCTGCGCATGGGCTCCAGCTAACAAATTATCTGATGCACTTCTCTCTTGAGGCAGAGAGGGGTGATTAAACGTGAATGCCTTATCACCACCACCACCACGTTGGGGCGACTTTGGACCAAAGCTGGGCGTGGGGCGTGGGACTGTGTCCCTATTCTCATTATTGGAAGAACCAGAAGTAGTAGGACGAAGTGTATCATTGCTGCGCATGAATTCTGGTGCCTTAGCTGGGGCTGGCTGGGTAGTAAGAGGTGGGGGTTTGGGACCGCGATCCTGGCTGCGAGCGGAAGATGGGCGGAGTGACTCTGGAATATCGGCATAGTTGCTGGATTGCGCTGCAACAGTCAGATTATCCGTTCCCCTCGATTCTGATAGTGAACTCGGGGGCATTGCATGTGTTGCGCTACGCTCGGCTGCGCGTGGCGGCGGTTGCTGGTCCAGAGGTGGCCCAGAAAGAAGCGAATGGGGAGGAGATTTATGTAGATCAAAGGGAGATGGCGCCGGTCTACCCTGTCCTGTAGATGGCCGAGAACCGGTCGACGGCCGAGACATCTGCTCGCGGCTCTTTTGAGTGCGAAGTGTGGGGTCTTCAGAAGGCTTTCTCTTGACTTCCCGAGGCCCATCGCGACTGGTATCACGACCTCTGTAGGACGGCTGTAGCGAAGGAGGTATCGAGCTGTCCGATGTTGGAGGTATTGGACCGGGTCCCCTTGGCGGTGGACCACCTGGTTGTGGTGGCTGTCCTCTTGGTGGTGGACCACCTGGTTGCGCTGGCTGTGCTGGCTGTCCTGGTTGTCCATGCCTTGACAACATTTGTCGCTCCTTGTCATCAAAACCAACGAGGTTGGGGACCTTTCCATTGGTGTATTTCTTGTAGATCTTGACCAGGCTCCCGATGAAGAACTCCTTCTCCTTAGAAGTCCTGGCATGCCAGTAATATGGCTTTCCGATTGTGACCGTGAATCCTACATTGCCCGCCCATTCTTTTTGTTGCTGCTCTCCCGGTGTTCTCGGCACAAAAGAGCCAAACGTTTGAATTGCGCTTAAATCGTCGAGCATCCAAGTTTTGCCAATAGAGTAGGTCCCCTCATTGTTCTCTCGAGCTTTGTGTATACGGACTCTGCCTGACTTCCGAACCGATATAATAATGATACGCGGTTTCTTGTTCTCCGGTGGCCCGTTTGGCGGGGAAGGACTGGAAGGGTGCGCCGAATCCTCGGTGATGCGAACGTGCGTTATATAGGATTCGAGTACTGGAAGCAACAGAGGGGTTAGCAGAGGTTGCGGGCAAAACGAAGCAAACGCCTTGCGATCCCATCTAGGCCCTGGAGGTAACTTTCGTAATGTGTTGCCAACCACACCACTATTCTGTGGGAGGGCAAAGCTGAGGAAATACGTTGGTCGTGTACGTACAGAGACCATCTTCATCCTTTTTTGCGAAACAACTATGAATGATCCGCTTCTTCTCATCTTCAAAAGCAGCCCCTCTTGTCATAGTGCTTGGGCTGGAGCCCGAATCGGAGTGCAGATCTCCACGATTCAGTGGCGGCCCTGGCGGAGGCCCGCGGGGACGGTCTCTGCCATTCACCATGGTATCGAGGGACACAGAGCTCACGTGTGGGTAGCCGCGAGATCAAGGGGACATGGTCGGGAGGGTCGGGATCGGGCGACGCCACTACGCACCACGCGCCGAAGGAATTGAAACGTGTCGAGGAAATAATGCGCTTGTGAACTGCAGAATATGATGAGGGACAAAGCAGTACACGTTGTGGCTCAAAGTAATGCAAGTGGCCAGCGCTGAAGTTTGAATTAGCTCATCAATGTGTCTCGGTGGAACCTTGGAAGGCGGAGAGCTTGGAGCGGAGTATCGGAGTATCGAATTGATCCGGGGTTGCCCATGTCAACAAAAGTGCAGAATGTCAGAGATAAATGTTCACTTGAGCGCAGATTTTTCATGACGATTGCTTACTGGCGCTTCACTATCTCACTTGTTTTGGGTATCCTGACACACTAAGATATCAACGCAGTTCATGGCGATCACGACTTTGATCTCATTAGCTTCTAATTGCCAGCAAAAAATTACTCATCTATCCCCAGGGTTGTTGTAGTTATAACATGCGAGGTAGAAACTGCCAATGTACTATACCTTCAACATATTACATACATTACATGCACCGCGTTAGATTTCTATAGTCAATCATGTCCACCATTCCAACTGCGATCAATTTCATCACTGGGAATAAGAACAAGCTTGCTGAAGCTAGAGCAATTCTAGGTGATATGGTGCAGCTTTCAAATCAAAACCTAAAGTCCTTGAAATTCAAGGTTCTCTTGAAGATATTGCGCGAGACAAGTGTCAAAAAACAGCTATAGCAGTGTCCAGCTTTCAGCTCTAATCTAAAGCGAAGCAAATCAGAATCAAAAGACCAACCAATTATTCAGACAACGGTGACTCTTCGGTAACAAAGGTGGACAGTATGACTAGAGGTTTTCTATTCAAATACAGATCACATGTATATTTCCGAAGTTGCCTCCATGTATGTATGCATCCATCCATATGGTCTGAATTCAAGAGCACTATTTTCTATCAAGACAGGGCCGTTGACCTATACAAACAAACATCTATCTTAAGCCTGGTAGTGCTCTGGTATCAGGGAAGTTTCAGACCGGCATACTACTACTAGTATTTAGAAAGAATAAGGCACAAAGGGGTGGAGACTCGGTCTAAATATGCACATAGATTAGATCCGACTAGAGACCGCAGCGGTGAAGAGATGTGGCCAATCAGATAACCCTTCGTAGATAATGCCGAAATATCCGCGCACCAATCACAATGCTTACTCGTATCAACCAATAACCGTGAAGCTGATAGCTTACCGCCTTTTATATACTTTTTTTTTCCTCCCTTCTTTTTTGGTTCCTGGCAGATTATTTCTAAATAGTCTCTTCTTGCCCCAGGTTCTCTTCCTTCGCTACCATTGAAACGAACCGCTCAGTCACTATGGCAAAGGCTTCCAGCAAGAAGACTTCGGTCAAGAAGGTAAGCTTCATTTACCTTCGATTGACATATCGATTGGCATGATCTACAAACAGACCTGACTGACAATGCCCTAATTTCACAGACTGATTCTTCCAAGACCAAGTCCATCCCCCCTCAGCTGATCGCCTCAGTCGCGGCTTTCTTGTCGGACAATTTTCCTCAGACTAGCATCGCCTTCACTAAGGAAGTGACAAAGTCGGGCAAGCAGAGCGATGCGAAGAATGTTCCCTCTCTTTTGGAACTCTTCCAAGCCTCGGAGCAGAAATCTAGCGTGAAGAAGTCTGCTAGCCCCAGTTCTTCTTCCAGCTCAAGCAGCAGCTCCGATAGTGACTCGGATGTTGAGATGGGTGAGGCCACTCGCTCGTCCTCTTCGTCTTCCTCTTCGTCTTCGTCTTCTTCCAGCTCCGATAGCGATGCGGATGATGAGGATGATGATGATAAGTCTCCTGCGGCTCCCACCCCCGCCCCCAGCTCCGATACGGCTCAGAAGTCTGCCGGAGTGAAGCGCAAGGCCGAGTCTAGCAGCGAGTCTAGCAGCTCCTCCGACTCCGACTCCTCCTCTTCATCCGAAGATGATAGCCCTAAGGCCAAGAAAGCCAAGACATCTCCCACCCCCAAAGAGACATCTTCCTCTTCATCTTCGGATTCTTCCAGCTCTGGCTCAGACTCCTCGTCGAGCTCCTCTTCTGGTTCTTCGTCTGATTCCTCCTCCGACTCTTCCTCTGACTCCTCTTCTGAGTCTTCCTCCGACTCCTCTTCTGAGTCTGAGTCTGAATCAGAGTCCGAATCTGAAAAAGAATCCAAGAAGGCACTGAAGAAGGCAAAGAAGACACCTCTCCCCGAGTCCGACTCCTCTTCTGACTCGGAGTCTTCTTCATCCGGCAGCACCCTCGCCGCTTCCCCAGAGACCGAGACCAAGCCCGAGACCAAGCCCACAAAGAAGGCCGTGGAGGCTGTGCAGACTACCTCCTCGAGCGCCAGCCCCGCTCCTGGCAACGGACCTACCAAGAAGAAGCACACCGGAGCTCGCCCTACCCCTCTGGCCCTCCTGAGTGAATTGCCCCATGACCACCCCTCGAACGACTACATGTCGTACGCCTATGCAGACCGTGCCTGGAAGGACCTGTCTGTGACCCGCGGCAAGGGATTCACCAAGGAAAAGAACAAGAAGAAGCGTGGCTCCTACCGCGGCGGCCCCATCGACATTGCCCCCGGCACGACCTCCTACAAGTTCGAGGACTAAACGACGACTCTTGCTTTTGCCACACGAACGTATTTTCTAGTTCATAATACCAGGCTATCGTCAGCATCTAATCCAAAAATTTGCCACCAAACCCAGGCTTTTTGTCTTGGATGTCGCTTTGCCGAAGGGAAGAATCGCTATCTTTTTGCTGCTGCAATATTTGCATTACGACTCCGGTTTGTTGCAATGGATCAATATGGACAGCCAGGGCTCTTATATCCCGCATCATTCTTTACCAATTTCACTCAGCATGGCGTATGGAGCTATGTACAAGGTCGTTGGACCCAAGATTTGCCATAGAATCTTTTTTGCTTATTAGCTTACATCATTCAAAAAGTTTGAAATCCGTCCTCGACGAACTCTCGAAGTATTTGCAATCCTCATGAAGTAGGAAATAACGTAACCTACGAACACAAACCCCTTCTAGCCCGATTAGTTTCTATCAAAAACAGTGTGATGTACTCCGTACAAAACAAGAGAATCCAAAATCCACAATCTATCCATCCTGCCTCCTCCAAGCCCCAGGCTCCTCCAAAGTCTCCCACCTACAATCCCAATCCGTATGCGTCCCACGAGCAGCATCCCCAGGCTCAAGATCCGCAAACGCGCGCTGAGTCCTCAGCTTAGAAGTGGTAGCGGAATCCTCGTCATCCGGGCGCTCATACCCAGCCAAATTGAATGCCTCGGCGTTCCAGCGCGGTGAAACCCCCGGACCCATGTTCACACCCAGGTCCAGATTATATTCGTACCACTCTTTCCCCGGACCGGTTAAGTCATCCGTAGACGCAAAGTCGAGCTGGACGACCCCGTCCACGATGCCCGTGTAGACGGTCGGCGAGGAGGGTGAGGGCGAGGACATTGTGTAGATGGGGCCGCGGTAGGGGCCTCTTTGGCGGGTGCGGACTGGGTGTGGAGTTTGTTGGGGGAATGTAGGGGGTGGTGGGTGGGAGAGGAATATGGAGAAGCCCTTTTAGGGCGGGGTTTTGGTCTTGTTCTGGGTGTGGTGTTGGCTTTGAATTGCGAGTCGGGTATTTGTGCATCGAGGTAACTGTATGTGTTGCACATGCGTAGGTCGAAGATTTTGACCACGGCTTCGCCGCCAGCTCCGGCTAGGAAGCGGTCATGGCCGAAGGCGTGGAGGCTGTAAATGGGATTGAGGTCCGTGGCGTCTTTGTAGGAGACTTCGGAGGGCCTTGAGGAGCGCAGGTCGTGAAGTCTGACGGTGTAGTCGTCCCAGGCGGTTAGAAAGACTTCGCCGGGGGAGCCTAGGTTGTGTTCATTGAGAGGCTCAATGGCGCCGATATTGGCCTTTGATTTAAGACTTGTAGAGTCGGTGTCTAAAGAACCGATTCCAATTGTTCGATATACAGAGACACCGTCTGGTGTGATTTTCGAGATAGACAAGGAGTTTTCCACATTTCCAGTTCCCACTGCAACTAGTGATGAGGATAGCAGTTTGGAGTAGTTGGTTCGTGACGAGCCTTCCAGTCGAAGCCATGTGAATGGCTCGATTACCTCGTCGTCAGTCTCGGTACGGTAGAAGGCGATGCTTCCATTTTCAAAATGAGCAGCCAAAGTAGAGTCTGTGCCACTGCTCAAATCTGTTTTATCGAGGCTGAGTCCAAATGATATGAACTTCTGCTTGTACTCGAAGGTTGCTTCATTGGGAGAGATGGCAAGGTGAACAATATCACCTCGGACCCGACCGAAGATCAGATGCTCCACGTGGGTATCGTTGCTGTATTGAGTCCCTGAAGACAAAAGATGCAGAGAACAAATGTCGTCATAGCTGCTAACATGATCAACATCATTGAACATAAGCCAGTCTTCTTGCGAGCGAATACCAGTTTGCTTGATCCTCATTACAAGCTGGTTGGCAGCACCCCAGGCAAGAACCTCTTTCCTATCAGCCCAACGCTGGCCATTCCAGATCTCGTAAGAATCAATTGAAGGTCTGTATCCGAGAGTCGGGTTATCTTGGCGAGTCACCTCGTGAGAACCGATTTTAGTCGCTGTTCCAGGTGGCACGACAAATCTTCCGATGATGGCTTTTCTGTCCAAGGCCCGCGACCTGGAGGTCAAAGCTCGTGCTGCATCTTTCCAGAATGGCGGTGTTTCGATATATGGGAATCTACTTCGCACAAACGCTCGGAAGATCCGAGAATTTTCAGCTGTGATAATGCCGTGCAGTCGGTGACATGTCTGGGACAGATGGGCCAATGCATTGGCAGTCGGGAGATGTGTTGCGATTTGATAAATGATCTCTGATGGGAGCTCGGAGAGCATTTTGAACGCGGAAGCCAGACAGGGATGTGAGAAGAGTAATTGTTTCGGGCTTTCAGACTATCGCCATCATTTGTTTTCCGCCGCTTTTATATGTTTTGCTGTTCATTGAGTGTGCTAGAAAGGGAAAGAGCTCCATTTGTTCAAGGACAAGTAGATTCGAGCTTCGCTTTATATTCAATTTCACAGTTGTCGACCGTCAAGATGTTGCAGGGCAGCAATTTCATACACAAATTGCCCCATGTGGGCAGTGGACCCGTTGCCTTATGACGTAAGCACATGGGCTCGCTTGGGCAGCTCAGCCTGTCCTCTTTTTTGTGCACCGAAAAAGCAATTATATAGACTGTGAGCTTCAACTTGAGTGACAAGACTATACTAACGTGTATAGTACTTTCTAACCCCAAAGGAAAAGGATCCGAAGGCACAGATGCAGCAACGTAGTCCATTATGTACGCTTATCTTATCGCATTCCCGGGGAAGTTGTAATGTCACAGGTCTCGTTGGACAAGACAAGTTTCCCTATCGAATCTAAAGGCGCATAGGCACTCTCCTCAGGGGAATTTGATTCACTGACTGTCCATCGGCAGATAACGAATCAGAGTGAGTGGAACTCGAACGGTATGGGGCTTGTAGGTTAATCTTGCAATTAGGGAACACACTCGGCACCACCTGTAATACACGGATGAGTGTTGGCTGGTCTAACAGCTAGTGGCATAGCCGCGTCGGCAATCCCCATTGTATACAACCCCGAGGTCCGGAGGGATTCCCAGCTTTTCTCATATTTGCAAAGTATCTAGATTTTCACCAACTATCTACAGTGGACGGTAAACACCGGCATTCACAATGGCTTACTCGATCACTGCACTTGCGGCAGCATTCTTCGCTGGTCTCATCTTCTACAGAGTGTTCATTTACCCAGTGTTTCTCTCCCCGTTGTCGAAGATCCCCAACGTGCACTGGAGTGCTTCCATCTCGCCTGTATGGATGCTATGGAGGCGCTTCACAAGCCGAAACAACCGGACGATTCAGGCCGCACACGAGAGGCTGGGTCCTATCGTTAGGTTAGGACCATCGGAGATCTCAATCAACTGTGTCGATGGAGGAATCAAGACAGTTTATGCTGGTGGATTTGAGAAGCATGACTGGTACCCACGAGTCTTCGGGTCATTTGGGTTAGTATAGACACCGATTAGCAGTAAGCAAAGTAGCTAACCATGAGAAACAGGACAGTGAGTATGTTCACCATGACAGGAAGCAAGACACATTCAACCCGAAAAAGGATGTTGTCCAACATATACTCCAAATCAACTCTGCAAACATCCCCTCATATGCGGGTAGTTTCAGATACAGTCATTTTCGATCGACTGCTGCCGATTCTTCAAGAAGTGTCAAAGTCTGGCAAATCCGTCGATATGCATGATCTAGACCAGGGCCTGACGATGGATTTCGTCTCTTCCTATCTATTCGGTTTGCAGAATGGCACTAATTACCTGCAAGACGATTCGGTTCGTAAGCACTGGCTTCACCTTTACATGTGCCGAAAGCCGTTCGAGTTTTATGCACAGGAGGTTCCATATTTGAATGGATGGCTGAGACGGATCGGTCTTCGTGTGATACCCAAATACTGCGACGACGCCAATGAAATGCTTGATGCTTGGGCTCTGGACCTATGCGATAGGGCAGATCAGATGATTTCGTCGACCGAGCCAGGCATCGAGCCAACTGTCTACAAGCAGTTGAAACAATCTCTGGACAAGCATTCCTCAAAGAATGGAGAAGCAAAGCTAGATAAGGCCCAGGAACGACTCGATATTGCTTGCGAGATGTACGACCAGCTGACTGCCGGCTTTGAAACGAGTGCTGTTGGTCTGACGTATTTGTTCTGGCAACTCTCCCGACACCCAGAAGTGCAGAACAAGCTCCGAGAGGAGCTACTCACTCTGAATCCCCCGATTTTATATCCAAAGACAGCCGATCTGCCACCAGCCAAGTCAATTGATAGCCTGCCCCTGTTGGAAGCGATCGTGACAGAGACCTTGAGACTTCATGCTCCGATCCCTGGCATTCAGCCTCGGGTAACGCCATCTCCCTCGTGCACTTTGGCCGGCTATCCAGATATCCCACCTAACACTAGAGTGAATGCGCAAGCATATTCACTGCACCGCAATCCGGAAGTATTCCCAGAGCCAGAAACCTGGCAGCCAAAGCGTTGGCTGGAAGCTGAAAACTCGCCGGCTGATTTGGAAGAGAAACGGCGGTGGTTCTGGGCGTTTGGGAGTGGAGGGCGTATGTGCGTGGGAAGCAATCTTGCACTGCAAGGTATGGATTTAAGAATTCCAATCATTGAATTATGCTGATTACCGCTTGGCAGAAATGAAATTGGCCGTGGCTGCGATTTATACCAACTTCCGCACCACGATTGTCAACGATGATAACATCGAGGCCATCGATGCTTACACCGTGAAACCGACAGGTGATAAACTGATTCTCAAGTTCGAGTCTGTCTGAGATATACCAGGAGGGGATCTTGCACGTGCAGCCATTGCTGCAAGCTGTATGAACTCAGAGTAGAATTAATTCGATCAACCGAAAAGTATAAACATTGCAGCTGAAAGAATAGGTGAAGGCACTAGCTTCCCGCCAGTTCATGCAATATCCAAGAGCGTAAAGTGGCTACGAATGATCGCAAATCGTGATCTAACAAGCTAGAATAGCCACAACCCCTGCCCCCGGTTTCGGTAGCACGGCCAAATTCGGCCTCTTCGGCGAGTGTAGTGTACAGACTCCTAATAGCCCGAATGCCCGAGGATACTAAAGAAGAGAATTGAGAGCTGCGAGTGGGTATTTGATCCAGCAAAGTTGGCCGTTCTTATAACCCTCACATCAGCCACAATCCATCAGGCACCACTAAAGAGGGATGGCAGTGGCATTAGATCGTGCTGACCTGGTGATAGACCATTAATAAGTGGAGGATCCATACACGCATATGTAAGGAAATAAGAGTTAATCAATTGTTCTTCCCATATAGTTGTATACTGTACATATAGCCAACTCCCATAGCCTCTGATGCAAAATAAGCTGACCAAATCAGAAAATCCTGATAAAGGCCAGAGTATTCGCGTAATAATGTATCAAAAAGAAACCCAAAACTCCAGGTGGACAGCTCGCTCCTGCTGCCAAGTCCGGATAGTCGTGCAAAGAACATTTTAACCGAGAACACCGTCCTTCTTCCGCGGGCCAACAACCTTAGGGTACATTCTCATGAGGTGGTAGTTGACGGTGTTCTTCTTCTGCTCCCTGGATTTCTATAGATGGGAATAACTTGTTAGAAGGATGTTGACAATAATGAAAAGAACGGCGGTGGATTATAACGTACCGGTGCATCCATGCACTTCCGCAATTGAGCCTCGAGAGCGGAGCAGCCCTCTGCGCCGTATCCAGCGGAAGCCCAGCAGTCTATAGCAACGCAAATTGTCAGTCGAGATTCAAGGTACTTCGAAGTCAGGGCGACGAGAAATTGATAGCGTCAATATCCCCAAGGAAGAGGAGCAAACATACTAAGCATAGAGGACATCACTACCACGCAGGGGTTCTGCTCATTCTGATTCGGCCGGCGGACACGGAGGTGGTTGATGGTGTTGAGACGCATCGGGTTGAGCCGGGTGGAGAGGGAGCCTTTGGGTGCCATGGTGGGCAATTATTAAGTTCGTAGAACTGGCAATAGAGGTATCAATTGGAACAAGAAGAGGCCGAAATGCCTTGAAGCGACCGTGTGCGGGATTGACGATGGGATACTGGCGCCGGCGACGGATCTTCGACAAACAAAATCCGAAGTTTCGACTCCGCGGAGGTAGATGACTAATCTTGGTCGCTCCCCCGGCCCTCTTTACCTACCTACCTCGATGGCTTGCCACCCTATTGACAAGCCCTGTACCTACACTCTTTTTGATATTGCGTTGTTGAATATGTCTGGGAGATACGGTTTGCCAACACAGTTCCGTGGCGTTTCTTCGGTATGCACCTTTAGAGCTCCGATAGCTCCCACTCCTAGGCGGTTCTCCGCAGCATGCCACCTGAATCAAACATCGCCCACGTCTACGGTCAAGACGGAGGATAAAGATAGTGAAAATGGCTCGAAAGAGGAAGAAAAAGATAGTCCGATGGGACGCCGTCTAGCTCAAATGACTGAAGATGCAATGCTAGAAGGTGGACGATCTGCGCGTCGCAACATCGAGCAAGCAGGGTTCTCGGAAGAACTGAAAAATAAGCTCGCAGAGCGCATTGCTGCTTCTACATTTAGGAGCCAGTATGCTGCTGCTCATTCTATAGTCGAAATGCCCGTACGTGATACTTATAATGTCCTACTGTCTAACAGCCACTAATCCACATTCCATCATCGCAGTCTGCGGCAGGGCAGGGCACACGAGAGAACGCCGCCGCTCCTCCATGGACAGGAACAGAGCGTGTTGAGGACACGACTCTGCGAATGCTAGATGACGCGAGCAAGCCAATCCGAATGCCTTACAAAATCCCCGACCCTGTGAACCTCAGAATCCCCCCGAAGCCGAAAAAGTCTCATGGAGAGCGAATCGCCGAAGCGAAAGAGCGCACCTCTACCTACACACTAAGTCGGGCTCCCGGGTTTTCCGAAGAGGAGCGCGAGCATATGCGCCGTGAGATGAGGGAGAACTTGACACCCGGGGCGTATTCCATGCCGATCTCGATCTCGGGTCTTTCGTCGCTGGCAGATGAGCGAATTCAAGATGCGATTGCACGTGGAGAATTTAAGAAGATACGTCGTGGGAAAGGTGTAAATACCAAGACGGACCACAATGCGACCAGCGCATTCATTGATACAACCGAATATTTTATGAATAGGATCATCCAGCAGCAGGAAATTGTGCCGCCGTGGATCGAGAAGCAACAACAGCTTGGCGCGGAACTCAATCGATTCCGCGAACGTCTTCGAGCGGACTGGCGGAGACATGCTGCGATGTTGATTGCGAGCAAGGGTGGGTCCTTGGACATACAAATGAAGCGGGCAAAAGCCTATGCTGCAGCCGAGACTCGAATGGCAGACAAAGCAAAGTTGGAGGCTTCGTTTGAAGAGGATACGTCCGTATCCGAGATCAACACTGATGGCCGGATTGTCTCCAAGCCAGAGACATCCCAGAGATCACCTACAACAAATGACAGCGAAAAAGCCTCCGAAGATCTAGCCCATCTTCCACCATTGCGAGACCCCGGATACCTCGCAATCGAACGTTCTTATCACGAACTCGCCGTGAAACAAATTAACAGTCTCACACGCTCATACAACCTCCAAGCTCCAGCCGCCGCCCACAAACCATATATCAATCTTGACCGAGAGCTCAACGCATGCTATGCTGCGGTAGCGCCTGACTTAGCAGAGGAAATAAAACGCCGAGCGACAGAGCGTGCGCGTCCGTCATCAACCGTTCCCCCGGTTTCTTCCATCAAGTTTGGGTCACTAGGAATCGCGCAGTCTGTACATGTTCGCGAAGAAGATCAGTCGAAGGGATACGGTATAAAAGAGCTGTGGCGCGATTTATTCACTAAACCCTGAAGACAGCAAGCGACAAAACAGAGAACTTTCACCCTTCTGTTCATCCTCTGTCAGGCTATATCGGAGATAATGATACACCAATAATGTGACGTAAAACATGAGCAATGGCACTCGAAATAAAACAGACAAAGCGGGTCAACACCACCTCCCGACCCTTCAATCTTTCCCTCGCAAAACTGGATTGGAATCTTCCGCTCTGCTACGAAAAGGTCTCCACACGGCGTGGCTTTCTCGTCAACCACAGAAAGCTCAAAGGGATTCCGACGACGCCGATGGTAGCAACAATACCAACCCCAAGCCCATTTATCAAAATGAATGTGGCAGCATCCATTGTCCTCATGCCAGCAGCGGCAGCAGGCAAGCCCAGCACCAAGCAGAGAATAGAGAGAGCAGCAACAATGAATGCTTTGGCGAGGCTGGACAAAAGTTTATGGTTAGCCATACGCCTGATCGCGGGCGGATCCGCGCAAAGACGTGATGCTTCCCGTAGATCTCGCCAGTCGAAGATAGCTGCGCTGACGCAGGTGAGAAAATGAAAGTACGTCCCGAAAGCGAGGAGAAGGAACGCAACCCCGATAAAATATGCCGCACATGGAGAGATGCTCATGTACATGCCCAGGTACCCATTCTTTGGATTCCAAACCTGGCAACAAGCCTCATTCCTAGCCCACAAGGGAATTTCGGTAGTCATGTTGCTGGCTTCGTCTCGCTTATGCATGGGGATGATGAAATGATGCCACGGGATCTTTGGGAAGTCTCCCGGGGGCCAGCCGGCTTGCTCAAGATCGGAATCGCCGAAGGGTAAACGCGAGATGACTTCCACGTCCCCGACCCAGATCTCGTTGACGGCGTTGCCTTGGTCGTAGAAATGGTCTGACTTCACGCCATGGACTGCGGATACTTTGTTGCCCATTCGTGCCTTGGACAAATTGATGTGAGATAATGGGGTGATTTAATGATTCTGGTACAAAGTAGTAATGATTCTTGTATAGAAAGAAATTGATGGATGATGAGGATGAGTTGGGCATCTTTCTCAGTTGACTGGGCAGGTAATCCTGAAAGCAGCAAAAAGGGAAGGTGCTTTGGTGTGTTCCTTAGTGAAGGAGATGGATATTCTTGTCAACCTCGAGGGTTTGCATCTATTCTATGGTGATTCGTCTGATCTCGATAGGAATGCTCGATAAAAATTGAATTATACTGTAGCATAATGTCATTCAGAGATACTCGTCATTACAGATAATTGCACTACGGCACTTGGGTATATATTTGAATGATAATATGCTTGATTTCAGACCAATGAAGTGTTCTTGAGTATCCATACTCTCATGTATCTCATATCTTATGAAAATGTTCTAAAATAGGTCAAATGGACTTTTGCGGCAGTTAGGGTTCTCTCCCCTGTGAGTGGTCGCCGCGATGTGATGATCGTGCATGAGGGCGCGTATTTCTGACCAACGACAAGGCTAAACTAGAATGCTTTGACCTGTGTACTGACTTTCTCTTCACTTCATCACATCCTATGCTTGCTTCTTATACGTAGCCCCTCCCTCTGTCGCCCCTCCTCTGCAACATGTATCACCCGCTCGTGTGAGATTCGACGTTTGAAATGTCGATCAGTGACTACGACTTTTGAAATTATTACTTCTCCTCTCCCCCGATCTCTTTATCATCCTGGCGGAAATGACTACCCCGGTTGTCTTCTTTTTGCCTATCCTTTTTACTGTCTTGATTGTACATAGTGCCTCGGTTCAGGCCCAGAAGGTCCAACGTGAATCAAAACCCGCTGCGCCCCCAACAGTGGACAAGCCATTACTAGCTATTCAAATTGGGAGCATTGCGGGCGCCTATGTGATCTTCGTCGCTGTCCTCCTAGCGCTACTTATCTTCGTTGGACGTCGCCTGCGTCGGACAGTTCAGTCGTCCAACTATACACTGCATATGGAAATTCTGAAGCCTGTCAGACCTCCTGTCAGCATGGATCCCAGCCCGATTTCTCCAATGTCACACAATCTCCCTAGTCCAAAATCAAGTGGATTCAGGTCCTGGGGGTCCTTGAACAGAAGTACCAGGCCGTCCCAACCATCTATGAACGGCAGCATGGTGACCATCGACGAGTCCATCGTCGCGAATGACCGTCAACGAGCCCAGCATGATATGGAGATGCTCTATGCGGCAGTTATGGAACATGACGCCCAGAAGGCTTCCGGAATTGATCTGTCGGTCCGCGAACAAGACTTCCACGCACAATCACCGGACAGTCAACTCACAAATCCATTCACTGATCGCGGCTCCCACGGCTCAGAGAACTCATTGGCGCCATTAGCTCCATTGAAGTCCCCCACCAAAGGATTCAACAGCTCCCGCTTATCCAAGCTCTTCAACTCAGGCTCCCGCGCCAATCCAGACCCGAGCAAAGTGCGCTCGCCGCGTCTGGCTATCCGCAAAATGCCCATCTCTTCTCCACTAGCCTCGCCAGCAGTGGCCACGCCTCAAGCCTATGTGTTCGAAAATCCGCCTCTTTCCCCGCGGATTTACAACCCCGGTCCTCCTCCAATGGTGCCGCAGCAGCATGAGAGTGAGTCAATCAGGCCCGCTCCTGGGCGTGCCCGCCCACCTGCGCCTCTCACTCTGTCTACCCCCTCCCCTTCTTCTTCTGTCCCGTCCAACCTGCCTTTCCGGGAGGCATACCCGCCGCAAAGTGCCCCGGCCACCAAGACCACTATCCTGGAACGACCGATGAAGAATCGGGCCGGTCCTCTCACGGGCATGGCTACGCCGTACAGTCCGTACATGCCATTTACTCCCGTGACACCTTTTACCCCTGGGCGCACAGTGACAAAGCGACAGCGGAAGCGGGAAGAGCGTGGGAATGGACTGCAAGTGTTGAACGAAGATGATTTGGTTAAGGATGACAATGATATCTGGGGATGAATGTGTCAAATTTAGTTTAGGCGTTCGAGTGCATTCGGTTCAATCCATCGTTTATCTATAGAGAACTGTCACACCTACATACACTGGCTGGATAGGTCTATTTCAGAATCTAATATCCTGCATAGCTCGTATCTAGATCTATATCTACATCTTCTCCTTCAAGTGTGTATTCCCTCTAACAATCGCCTCAGCAAAATCCGACCTCGTCCCGGCCTTCTCAAGACTCAAAAGTGTCTGAATAGTACACCCCCTCGGCGAAGAAATACTCTCCCTGACAACCGCTGGATGCTGTCCAGACTCCAACACAGCAGACAATCCCCTGATCCCCTGCAAAACCAACTCCATCGCATCCGCCCGCTTAAACCCCTCCGCAACACACCCATCCAGCAACCCCTCAATCGGCAGCGTCAACGTCGCCATCGTCGCGCCAACAAGCACAGTCGCCAACCCGATCTGCTCAGCTCCTAGGTACTTAACCGCACCGACATGCTTGAAAATCCACTCCGTAATCAGAACCATGGCTGGCGGGATTGACGGCGCCGGCGTTTCGATGATCGTCATCGACTGGCCGAACTGCGCGCCCATGTTCGGGATAGCTTTCATGAGGTGCGGTTGATCTGCGGCGCCGGGATCTGGGTTGATGAGTCGGGTTAGGGTTTCGCATGATTGGCCTGCGAGCATGCTGATGACGAGTTTCCCAGCGAGGGCGTCACGGACGCCTTCTTCGCTTAGAACGGCTTCGGCCATGAAGGGCTTGCAGCCGAGGATGATTACGTCGGCTTCTTGCATTGTTTGGACGGTTTGGTCAGAGACGATTTTGATTAGTTGTTGGTGCTGGGGGGCAATTGTTTTTTCGAGACGGGATGCAGAACTGGCTGTTTTTGTGCAGGCGATAAAGCGAGTTATTGGATTTGGTGTTGGGTCAGTGCTTGTGGCTGAGAATACGCTGTTTAGGAGGCCTTTAAGCACGGCGCCTCCCATGTTACCTTGGGGGTTGTTAGTGGTAGTTTTACTATGAATGTTATGTTTACTTACCGCATCCGATGAATCCAAGAGTCTGTCCTGATGCCATGATGTTCTGAATACCGAGAGAGACGGAGAGTTGATTGAGTTGAGGGGTTTGGCTATCTATTTGCCTCATATGCGATCTCGGGTGAGGTGTCCGACGTTGGCGGCAGCCGATGCCGAGATTTGTTTTTAATTATTTAAAATGGCAGAAGAATATGCTTAGAGGATTATCTTTTGAAGCTCTATTTGAGATGATACGCCAATTGCCCTCGAATGATTCCCCGTGCTTCTTTCCCCATGTCTATGCAAGATTACTTAGGATATCACCCATTGCTGGACGGAGGGTCAAATATCAAGCCCAATTTCTTGCATGAGTTATCTTCGAGACCTACAATGAGCACAAGTCCATTCATTCCATTATTCACAAATAATATCTGATCCTTGCCTCAGGCGCTAACTCCGCCTTAACTAACTAACTACAAGTGGCGTATAACAGATTACCGCATTGGGCTTGGCTTCGTGTTCCCCAATGCAGCAGGGATTCCCGCTATCTCTCCAATCTTCAATCTTTACACTCACTCCTTTTTTGCCTAAGACCCTCTATGGCTGTCAAGATCTAAGCCTGGACTTAATTGTCGAATGAACAACACTGTTGTCTTTTTTTATCGAGTTTGCTGATCGGCCCCGCTATTCCCCCACCTCACAAGTTGCAACTGTCGTCATCCTCGGAGAAGTCGACTTGCTCTTTCCGGCCGAGTTATTTTGGTGGAAAGTACTCCCGTACCTTGTCTCTTACTCCATTAGAATTCGTCGTCCGATAACTTGTGTGTGCAATAAGAGGCTGTAAGTTATTTCACTCTTATCTTGGCAGAGGCGCGGTTTGGACTTGGACTGTCTTGGCTAACTGGAACTTCTTCGCAGGTCTCAGACTTTCTCTCCCCTTTCCTCCACTACTCGTTTACACCTCTCTGTTTTTTTGTGTTTCCAGTACGAACCGCCTACATGACTCTCACCGTCCTCTCCCAAACTCAGCTCCGCGAGCTGCTGCACGCGCTCTCTCGCGACGAGATCCTTGAATTGCAGCGCAATCTCGGCGAGGCTCTACGAGAATACTCCAGTGGATCTCAGGAGGAAGGTTGCTCGGCAGCTTACCAACCCCATCGAACTGCCATTACTCGTCAGAATGGTTGCACCACCCTCTTCATGCCCGCCAGCACGGGCAAGACCATTGGCATCAAGATGATTTCCCTGCAGGACGGGGGCGCTGCTGGCTGCGCTAATGAACAGGAGACCGTGGATGCACAGGAGAAGGACCAGATTTCCTCGCGCAGACGAGGCTCTTTCCGGAACTCGGTGGCTTCCATATCCTCTGATTTGAGTGATTTATCTTTGGGCTCCCAAGAAGACAAGGAGGACACCACCAACAATGACAGCAGTGTGGCAGGATCAAGCACGGATAGTCCCACACTCCTCACTGGTTGTGTCAATCAGCAAAATGTCACTTCCAATATTTCTAGAACTCTTGGCGCTTGGCCGGGCGCAGGAACTCGTGACACATCGCCGCGCGGCAGTGTGACACTCCTAGACGACGAAAGCCTGCCATTCGCATTGATCAACGCCCATGAGCTGACGGCATTCCGCACGGCCTTGGCTTCGCTGATGATGTTCAACAGGCGCAAGAAGGTCCGCACTCTTCTTGTATTCGGAGCGGGCACCCAGGCTTACTGGCACATCCGCTTGTCATTGGTTCTCCGCGGTGACGACATCCGCCGGGTATACATTGTAAACCGTTCTTTCGACCGCGCAGCCAAACTTCTGCAGGATATCTATGGGCCTGAAAACAGCGAATGGCGCGGGGACGTCAAGTTTTCCGCGGTCAGTACTGATTTCGGCGAGTATAGTCGCATCTTGAAGGATCACGTGCGCAAGGCCGACGTGATCTTCTGCTGTACACCCTCTCCGGTGCCACTTTTCCCAGCGGAGTACCTCACCTCGAGCGAAGGCCGTCAAAAGGGCCGGTTGATTTGTGCGATTGGATCATACAAGGCACACATGGCCGAGATCCACCCAGATATCCTCCGAGACGAGGTCACTGTGCAGGGTCCACATAGACACTGGCACAAGCATATCCACCGCAGTGGTGTGATTCTAGTGGATAGTCTAGACGCTGCCATGAAAGAGGCGGGCGAGATTATTCAAGCCGGAATTAAACCGAAACAAGTTGTCGAGTTAGGCGAGCTACTGATGGTTCGTAATGCCGCTCGCGAAGCGGCGACCGTGGATGAGGAACAGAGCCTGCGTGAGTGGGCACAACGGGGGAATGTCATCTACAAATCGGTTGGACTTGGACTGATGGATCTCGTGACTGGCGGAGATTTGGTGCGCTTGGCGCGGGAGCGGAAGTTGGGGACCACCGTGGAGGATTTCTAAATGACTTTGGCGACTTGGCTTTGCACTTTGCCCTTTGCACTTTTAACGACTTTTGATTCGATACCTTTTTTTGCTTATTTTACATTGCTTTCTATTGGCCGGTCTTTTTTCTCTGGGCGTCTGTTGTTCCAGGGAAATTTCGAAGATCAACAGATCTCCCGAAGGTGCCACAATATCTTTAAATTAAGAGAAACTTGAACTGAAATACATGTCAGAATACACATGGTATGACTATCAAATAGCATTTGGAAGCTGGAAATGAGAACAAGGAACAATATCATCTCTATCATAGAACCTGAATATCAAAGTAAAAAGCTTGCACATAACCTCCAATGTTAGTGGGCTGATGGTCTGCGTCATCGGGTATGTAACCTCCAGGGCTCTCGGACAATCTTCCCTCTCGTTTCAAACGTTTCTCTGAGCAATCTCCCGCTGCGCATTACCAATCCAGCTATTGGTATTGGATATCTTGCCCTAGCTGCTCTAGCTGCTTTAGCTGCTGTTGGCGCACGAGTCTTCCCTTCCCCGCGCAGTGAGGGGCCAAGCAGCGATAAAAAAAAAGTCTGCTCTACTATAAGAAGCCTTATAACTCCCCAAAATACACCCCCCAGACATCCTCGCCATGCGCAACACCACCTGCTACTTGCCCAATGGCCTCTCCTTTAATGTATCGCCCGTTTTCGGGGGAGTCACCTTCAAATCCGCCGATTTCAACGCACAGAACTCCACCTTCCCCCCAGGTTGGACGATTATGATCAACACCGAGAAGGCGAGCAAGACAGATGAGCAAGGAGATGAACCAGACTCAGAGAAACCCCGCGACGGTGACGATAATTTTTCCCGTTTCACTACCCCCACCTTGGCCCGCGATTCCCTCTACATTTCCTATATAGTCAACCCACCATCAAGCGAGTTCAAGCCCGTGACCTCACCCACGCGCCAGATTGCCATGATGCTCTGGGCAACTCTATGGTGGTACTTCCACGAGCCCGAACCAGACCTGCACGTGGAGACCGTCGCATCGAGCATGACCCCGCGCGACGGACGACCAAAAGGCGTATGGCGGGTCAACATCAAGCGCGAAGGAATCTTCAAAGGCCGAAACCTCCTCCAGAAGCTCGAGCGCATGGGCCTAATAGCGACCGAAGACTCCTCCGTCGGCCTCCAGCCCATGGAATCCCGCGACTCAAGCAGCTGGTCAACGATGTTCGTCAGCCGGCGCAGCTTCTGGCAGCTCGACCCACGCCTATTCCTCTTCACACTGACGCCCCGCGGAGGCCGTCCATCAACACCTCCCTACCGGTCACGGAATTCGTCTCCCGCGTCGTCCGAGGGTCCGCCCCCCGCAGCGCCGCTAGTGCTCGCGCCCATGGAGGCAATCTTCCACACGGCGAATATGGGCCCATTCACCTCGGTAGGACCGTTTACGTCCGGCAGCCATCTACCAACATACTACCCGCCGCCGCCGATGCAGTTCACCTCCACGAACGGCGTGCGACACCCCGTGCGCCCGAAACCGCCGCACCAGGGCGAGGTCTTCTACGTGCGCTACGTCCCCAGCCTGAGCCAGTATCTCTCATTCCGCGTGGCGTTTGTGCCGATGAATCCCGGGGGTAGTGCTAGTCGGCCTGGGACGCCTGTTAGCACGACTGTGACGAGCATCACGCACCATCTCACCAAGAATATTTCCTCGGATCTGGACACGATGCACCGGTGGATGAATGTCCCGCGGGTGGAGGCGATGTGGGGTGAAGGTGGGGATAAGTCCGTGCAGGAGAAGTTCTTGCTGGCGAGTCTGACTAGCCGCCACAGCTTCCCTGTCATCGGGTGTTGGGATGGGAAGCCGTTTGGATATTTTGAGATCTACTGGGTCAAGGAAGATCGGCTAGGACGACTTGTGGACCACGTGGATAATTATGATCGGGGTATTCATCTGCTCGTTGGGGAACAGGAGTTCCGGGGTGCGCACCGGGTTGCGGTCTGGTTGAGTGCGTTGGTACACCACTGCTTCCTGTCAGATATGCGGACTGAATCTGTGGTGTTGGAGCCCCGGATTGATAACCTCAAGTGAGTTGCGGACGTTTATTACCAAGGAAAGGAAGATATATGCTGACCTCTTCCAGACTCATTAATTACCTCCAAGAAGCAGGCTTCTACAAAGAAGGCGAGGTCAGCTTCCCGCACAAGCACTCTGCCATTATGAGGATCAAGCGCGAGTACTGGGAAAGCCCGGCTCTATAGAGCTGCCACGGCGGCGATTTGCATTGAGACGATCACGAGTAACGAAACAGCTAGCATTGCCTGGATTTTGAAATTTCTTGCTATTTGACTTGCTGGCCATTTACTATGCCGTTAGCCCAATAGAACGACTGGTATGGTTATTGCTTATTGACAAGACCTTTGATTTCATCTTCTATCTTCTAGACTCCCTTCCCGAGGACCCATCGGAGCCTCTCGAAGAGACCGTCCTGCTTTGAAATAGTGTATTCCCGGCTGCTTGGTTGCAAAATGTTCGATACTTGGTCCGGAGGTTTCCCATCATCTGTTCTGAGGCTCAATCAATTCAGTGGATGGTAGATTGATCATCTATACAACTGACTAATGTTGATGGCTTCATGGAAATAAAGAAACAGAGGCCCTTAAAACTACAAAGAAAGGGACCTGTCAAGCTGCCTAAGCAAGAAAAAGCAATCCGCGCTCTTGCAACATTTCTACCTAGACTCATCTGATGTCGATTAGCAATAGCGATATATACCCCTGTGTAACTCATCCGGGGCTCTTAACGAGACCCGTAGAGGTATAGTAGATTCGCTAGACCCACATTCTCTCAACGCTTCATGGCCTGATTCAGATACCGTATTTCCCCGCTAATAGGGTCGTTGAAAGTAGCACTGTTTGTGTACAGAGAATCCAGGACTAGCTTCACTTCATGGAGGAGATCAGCTCCAAATTGGGGATATTGTTGAGCTAGGTCGGTAAATGTGTGCCGTTTGCCTTGGAGATACCAGCAAACGGAGGCTGCGGCTAAAGTACGGCGTACGGGATGGCCATTGCGTAGGAGAATTCCCGAAATAATGTCTTCTTCTCCCAGCCAACGGGTGTTCTTGTCGCTTGTGTCGAAATTTCGGTAGTATTCCTTGGCATCGGGATGTGGATTGGCAATAGCCTTCTTGATGTATCGGGCCGTTTGGGATTCTATCCTGGTAATCTGGTATTTGTCCGCGAGTCTGGCGAGCTCTATAGCGGCCGAAATACGCTTCTTGGTGTCTTTGATATCAAACTTGACAAAACGGAGGTATAGCCATTGGAGGAGGGCTTCCAGACTTTGCTTAGAGACAACGCCTTCCATTTCTTCTAGGTCCACTGTCTGCTCTTGGGCCTCTCGAAAATGACCTTCGAACATGGCTGTGAAAACTGGCGACTCCGCGCAGAGGAGTCCTTTGGAAATTGTGTATTCACAACCAATAGATTGGATTCGGATTTTAACAACAGGACCATGATAGAGTGGAAGCATCCTAGTTAATGAAGTGTTAGACAGCGTGGAAGCCACTCCCAAGTAAAGCCTACTTACGCTGTTGCGAAGGACTCAACATCTTCCTCAGATATCTCACTCATTTTCCTCTTCATAGGTTGACTGTTTGAAAGACCGGGGTTGCAAAGGAGAATGTTAACGAGAGATATGGAGATGGCTTTGTGATCTGAGCAAAGAGAGAAGGATTGAGGAAGCTACCTAAGCATCTGTGCCTGACAAACAAGGAAACAAAGCTCCAGGCAATCTTAGCACCAACTGCCAACGAATTCCTCCAATTTCGAAAACTCATAGATTCCCTAGTAGATTCCCTATATCTCACAATTCACCTCAATATCCGACCAACTTCCTTCTTTTTCCGCTAAAAGGGTCCGTGACCACAAACGCCAACGCAACGTAATTCAGTGTACTATATGACTAAAAAATATGTTTGCTAGGAGTGGATTGTAATCCAGACCTTGAATTTTCTATCTAGACTTCTTAAGATATGGGTATAGTAATTCCGATAGTGCGAATTTGTACGGAGTACGCGTACAGCCTTGGCATGTGTTGCCCCTGGTTGGCCGCGTGGATGATGGGCGATTTCTCTAGAGATAAGGAAGTTAAGGGTAGGATTGAGGCTCAGGATAAGGATGATTATTCGTAAGGGGAAGGGGGATGAGGGGGTATGAAGGGATATGCAATATAGGATCCTAGAAAACTACGCAAGGAGTGTTACTAGTACTATAGACTTCAGCACCGCCTTCAAAGGTCTCGACCCAAACCCAACCCAAAAGTCTAGGGGTATACGTACTTATGACTATGACCGTAGTGAGACGTATATTACAGTATTATACTGCGAGATCCAAAATCAAGTTAAGTTTCATTGTCCAAGTAGGAGGTAAGTACAAGGTACGTCGAGCGCGAGCAAAGAATTGTAAGCGTAGAGATTGTTGGATAGCATCCAGAGAATGAAAAACGAGTGAGACGGAAGACCACAAGCATAAGAAAGACTAGATGACAGACACACAAATGCCGACACGGGGCAGATGCAGTAACGAGTGGAATAGATGAGAGATGAAAAGGAAAAGGAAAAGACGAAAAGAAAGCAGAATGACAACTTTCGCGTAATCAGGCTCATACAGTGTTAGATGACATATATGAACATCAAATAGTAAGTGTGAGCGAGGGGTATTGGCAACATGTGCGTATCAACGGGGTGAACAGCTTTTTCAAAAGCGGAAATATGGAAATTTGAAAAGGAAATAAAAGAGATATGGGCATGTATGAGTGAGAGCGTAAAAGTCAGTGAGATAGGAAAATGGCGAGATGCGTGGGAGCATCGGTGATTAAGTAAAGATCAGATTGCTAAAAGGGGAAAAAGAAAGAGAGGCAGGAGAGATCGAGAACCGGCTCGATTTAGTGAGAGCGACGACCGCCCATGTAAGAGCCGGTTGCGGAGGCGAGGAAGCGAGCCACAAAGCCGCCGCTGTGCGCGTGGTTGCTGGTCTTCAGCTTCTTGGATGGCTGGCGGATAGGCTCCGAGGACTTGGTGGATTCGATGTGGGCGACGTCCACGTAGCTGTGGTTCAGTGAGAGGGATGATGGGCTGCGGTTGGGGTCCGCGAGCATGAGGTCGTCGGCACCGTTCGAGGAAACCGTGCTGATGGAAGCTGGTGTGCCCCTTGAGCTTGGGGTGATGCTGGACGAGCGCGAGCAGAGAGAGTTGAAGGTCTCGGCGTGGGAGAGGGCTGGCACGTCGCCGACGGATGGTGGGGAGACAGAGCGGGTAGTTCGGGTGGGGGATGCACGCTGGCGTTGGTAGGGGTTGTAGCGATCGTGTTCGGCAACATTCTGTGCGGCATAGTGTGTGTTGTGCATGGTTGGGCAGGAGACGTGGCTAGGGAGACGGCGGAGAGAGTTGTCGTTTCCGCGACGAGTCTCGCTCCGGGCCTCGAGCTTCTGACGGCGGAGTCGGCTGGCCAGCAGATCTGCTGATGAGTGAAGACGGCGCCTAGGGGTGGGTTAGTATTTGTTATGATAACAGGTTGTAAAATGGGATGCTGTACCACTCGCGGTGTTGCTCTTGTTTGTGGAGATATTCCTCATCGGCGATGCGTTCTTGCTCTTGGGCGATCAGGCGCTGACGGTGGGGGACGAGAAAGGGCTCGAAATAAGTGAGGAGATCCTGCTCAGTGATGCGCAGGTCCCAGTCCAGAAGGAAGAGGAGCTGGCGTTCCATGAGGTTGACTTCAGGGAGAGAGAAGCCGAAACCTTCGAATCCCTTCACTGCGGTGTAACGAGCCCAATGCTTGTTCTTGGGGCTGGAGTCGTTTAGGTTTTTGGCGGCCAGGATGAGCGAGGCGAGGAAGATGCGGTGGACAGTGCAGCGCATGCCCTTTGCGACTGGTGGCAGACGTGATCGAAGACGACCGAGGTAGACGAGACAGCTCATGAGAGTGGGCACCTGCACCTGCGACCGAGCAACAAGTGACGCGATAAAAGTCTCGATTGGGGGAAGAGCAGGCAGGTCAGAGGGGTCCATTGGAGGGGTGGATGGTGGTGTAGGTTGGCCATTCTGGTTGACCGTGTTGGTCACATGCGCCTCGCAGCGAATGACCTGGGCTGCCTGTTGAGCCAGGTGTGTGATCATTTCGCGAGTCACTCGGACAGTGACAAACTCATTGAGAGCAGCTCGGTTGAGTGATGCTGAGTCCATATTGATAGAGGGATATGACAAGAAGTTGGATATCGGAGAAGAGATCGAGGATGGGAGTTAAATAGGCGGAACTGAGATCAAAAAGGTGTTCAAGGCCACAAATAGATTGTCTCGGGACAATTCAATTCAGAAATCTTTGGGCAAACGACAAAGGTCTTTGTATGTTTGACGGTATCAGAGGGAGTCGACACAGAGTGAAGCAAAGAAATCCGATCAAAGACCAAGACACACAATGGCGAACAGAGAAAGATGAATTCCTGACCGGCAGGATAACTTTCAGATCAAGTACTTTCTTTAAAAAAAGAATGTTGCAGTAAGGATGGGATAGTTGGGGTTGTCGTGTCAACGCCTATCGATAGCCCTAACTGAGAACTTCTCCAAAGTGAAACCGGAAATTTATTCGAGAGAGACACAATCCACAGTTCACTGCAAGTAAGCAATAGATTGGAAATAATGTTTCTGAGGGGGAAATTTCAGGATAGAAAAGGCGAAGGATCAAAATAAAAGGCAGGTATCAAAGGAAAGGATGACGACGTTGAGCATGATGAATCTCGTGAAGAATCTGGGTGGAATGCCTCTCTAGTTATAGTATCTGGTATGCGCCAGAGTGGGAGGAGAGAGGGGATACGGTTCTCCCTGCAAGGAACGGCCATCCAGTTAGAAGAGAGAAGATAGCCAACAGGGATAGAACAGAGCCAACCTGCATAGTTGGATCTAAGATGCTACTTTTTTTTTTTGGCGCGCGGAGTCTGACAGGGAAAGTGAGCTGATTTGTCGAGAGAGAACGGATGATGTACAGTTGATAGACTATTATTGTACCTGTGCGTTATTATCCCTAGATTCATCCAATAGAGGGTTGGACGGTTGGTTTTTGGCTGTTGGATTGCATCGACTGGCTGGACACGATGGACTCGGTGTGATAGTATTCTACATTCTACATGAAACTAAAATAAGGGGCGTAGGGCGTATTGGGACAGGGCAACGTCCAACAATACAGCTGATCTAGGATCTAGAATATGGGCCCTTCAATTATTCCTATGAAACTCATGACCGTCTCAGATCTACTCCGTATGGGTCATTCCATTCCATACCAAAATACGATCTATTATCTAGTCAATCATCACCAAGAACAGACTTCAGCTGAAAAAAAAAACAAGGTGGCGATTTCAGGTTGGCGCCGTGAACTCGCGTTAGTGCCCAATCACTCGCAACCTGTCAGTTTCCGATCTGATCGCCAGAATCCCTGTGAAATGGTCCCTTTGACAGACTTGGCTCTCCTGTCATTTGACTGGATCCCAATCCAACGGCGCGAATATAGCGTGTTCGAGGGGGAGACATGCCACTCCTGGAGGGGAAAAAGAAAATAAAACGATCCCAACCTGTTGGAATTATCCGACATCCACCTCACATGAGGCAGGTCACATCATTCCGGGCCCTTTTTTCTTTTTTCCTCTTGGATCTATCGATTTCCAACCTCTTCCCCAACCACCCGGCTATCTTTTTCCTCTCCCCGACCATGCAGTAAAGCCGTGGGATGCATGCAATGTTCCGTGCATAGCTCTTTTAGCGTGTGGGCTACTCTAAAAAAAAGGCAGCACACTGCATATGCATCTACATAAGCGCCCATCCTCTTTCCACTCCCGACTTCCCGCCCAGCGCTTACAATCCCAACATCATGGAAGCGCTATGACGTTTAGCTCTAATTTTGTGGTTTCTTTCGTTGTTATTCTTAGATTGTTTCTATACGCGCTACTCTCCTGCTTTCTACTACCCCAGACGTCCCCATGCGCGGGCCGTCACCCGCCGTTCCGCCTGTCCCGAATTTGGGATGTTGGAAGTGATACTGCGCCTCATTTCATCGGGCGTCTCGCTGTTGGTGATTTGGATGGTTGGTTGAGAGTGCTCTATGCAGGTTTCCAACGTTTGGTCCCACGGGTGATCCCACGATCCCGCAGGTGATCCCAAGGTGATCCGCATATCTGGACCAGGCTCCATCATTTTATGGCGCCGTTGGGATTCTCAGGGCTTTGGGCCCGGTGTTGGAATGGGGCGGTTTCGGGATTGGAGGGTTTGTTTCAGTGTTGGTTGGCGGTTAGAAATCGTATGGGTGAGATGCAACGCGAAGAATGCGACCGTGCATATGCGGAGTACGAGTCGCAGGCTGATACTAATGTGTGTATTTGGCATTATGACAATTATGGCTCTATGATTGGCAGTGGGATTATCGATACTTGGTGAATTCTGATTGATTCCATTTCCCAACTATCTTCCCAAGTCCCAGTCATGCCCTTTGCTAAAACCATGGAATCACTTGACAATTAAACAACAGCGACCGAATAAGAAGAAACAGTCAACTTAGCAGTACCAGTGAAAGGCTCAGTGCCAGCCTGCACGTCAATCAAGTACTTGCTGTCGCTCAGACCCTGGTCGTTGACAAGGTACGTAAAGAACTTCAACAGGTCACCGGAGAAGCTCGTAACGGTAGACTTGGCGACGAAGCTGTAAACAGTCATCTGGCCATTAGGACCAACCCACACATCCCATTCAACACCGTTGATAGTAACCGTCGCGATGGCCTTGCCAGTGCTCGAGATCGGGCCCGCACCACCCAGAGCCGCAAGCCACACCATGATCTCGTACTCCTCGCTGCCATCAGCAGTGGAACTGAGGAACATGTCGTAAGCGACATCGGCGACGATATCGGTGGTCGAGTAGCTATTCCGTAGATGGTTAGATCTAAAGTAACCATGTAACCATGTAACCAGGCTTACCTCCAGTCCCAAACGGACTCGATGCTACTAATAGCACTCAGCGTCTTAGGAGTGAACTGCAGCGAGGCACTGGCGTAGCTCTTGACCTGGTTCGTGGCACCGGCCCACGACCACGACGTGTGCCACGCGATCTTATTGCCGCTGCTCGAGTCTAGCCCTGTGCACTGTGTGCCGGAGGGGTCTTGGGCTTCGTTCCAGAGGTTGTTGTAGAGGATGTAGGTGTCCGTTGTGGTTGTGCCCCACTGATCGCAGAAGTCTGCGCGACGTGCGATGGCCTTGACTGGGGCCCTGGCGGCGTTGCCCATGGTCGACAGTCCCAGGCAGAGGAGCGACACGGGTGCGATGAAGGACTTCATAGTGGCTTTAGGATCGGGTGTTGGTATCGAGGATAGATGGGAGTGTCTTGGTATGAAATTGGAGTCTCACGGGATGGAACTGGGGTTGTCGGTTTGTTTTATACATGCCATCTTCTCTCGGAAGTCGTCCGTTTAGGGAATGACCTGCACCGGCGGTGGGTTCATGTTCCGTGTAGAGTGCGGAGGACTCCTGTCTCACATTTCATATTGGTACGAGTTATTATCTCCGTCGAGCTCATGGCCGGGACTCCACAGCAGCCGGATAATATCAAAAGCTTGCTCGGGGCCACGGCCAGCCGGGATTGAAGGAATAGACTGCTGCAGCCATAATGTGCATCGTGGACAAATTTTTCCACGACTCGAGGTTTATTATGCAGGACATTATCTGCTCATCTGCGGATTCGGAAAGCTCTCCGGTCGTTGGCACCAAACGTGAGGCCGTCGCAGAGCGGGCGGAGGATTACTCCTTCTAGAACGCGGTCAAATCGGAGGCGTTGCTAGAAAGGTATCCGCTTTATTCGAGATTCCCCTGAATAATAAACTGTCGGTTTGCATTGCGAAGTTTTTCCGTGGTGTGACTTTCTTTATTGTGCAGGACCCAGGCCAGTGATTGATTTGCGTGTGATATGTGATGGTCAAATCTAGAGACTTGAAGGATACATATGCTGTACGTACTTACGAATCAGCCACATCGTCACTTGTTCTTCATGCACCCCGCAATCAACACAAGCTAAGACTCTTCAGAAAATGGAGGATAGTAACTCCAAAAGTCTTGGCTGAGGACTTGCTCCTAGTCAGAGATTGCGGAATGCCGACCGTTTTCCAATGGGCGATGATCGACATTTTGACCGTTGAATTCAAGTCATGCAGAAACCAAATGAGAATGGTTTTTGCCATCATTCGACAGGAGATGGTTTCATGGTAAGCCACGTAGCTCAAGTATGGGTGTTACACATTCGTACACGCTCACAGCCAGGCACTATAAGCTATGTTCTGTCTAGTAGCCCGCTGCATCTTCGGAAATTGGCCGTCTTTATACTGGCTAGGATTGGGGAAAGGTTCCGGGATTGGCTCGAGCAATTAAGTAGAATGTTCCATTACAGCACCAAGAGAAGAAGGAACCATGGCAGAAATTGAAAATGGGCCGATTGGGACGAGGACTCAGACGAGAGGCAATTGTGGCTACCGTCATGAGCAAGTCTGGAAGCCCGAAACTCATAGCTGTTTATCAGCACATTGCTTGCGCCTTTTCCTTTCAGCCCATTCCATGGTCATATAGGCAAGGGTCGGCGCGTCAGCATAACGCGGGTCCTCGTCAATTTGGATATCATTCCAAGTGAACTTTAGATAATTAGCTTAGATAAAGGTAACCTTTGATTAATTTCCCACTCAAAGAACGGGTTTAGGAGGTTGATAATCCGTTGCGGTACCATCCAAGGCTGTGGACCAGCGCCAGCGAGACTTCTAGACTCTCACAAGGCACAGTCTTGACGTCCCTCGGGGTCTGTTTATATCTGTGCCAGCACCAAGCAACTTCTCTGATATTATATAGACAATTTAAACTACTAGCTTGACAGCTTGGACTCAATACCTTCATCGGTATACGGTGGACTCTACTCGAGATTAGGTATGTACACTTTTGTGCAGAATATATATCGTCCGGATCTAGGTCAAACCTCGGGATACCCATCTCCCATCTCTTTATACCGATAAAAACACCCATACTAGCAATGTGTCCCAGCATCGACAGTCCGTCATATGCAAGCATACCAAGTTCAATGTTTAAAAATCTGTCTAATCCGTTCTCAGGAGTGAAGGCTAAATCTGTAAGTGGACGACAACCACTCTGATTACCTTAACGATGTCGGCATGATCTACGTCCTTGTCAACTGTACAAATTTTACAACAAACAAAAGCTCGAATATGATTTGGCAAGCACGGAGTGGTAACAGGACCTGGACTTCGGGGAGTACTACATAGTTTGATATATCTTGGCATCGGGTTCCGCGGACTGCGGTAGTTCCCGCATATTACGGATCACGGCGATCCGAGGTGAGCTGTCATTGGAGATGATTGGACTGTACGACCTGACAGGTGCAAACGTACGGAACATCGTCGGGGAAAGGAGATATCGAGGACGCTTGGCCAATAGAAGAGACGATAATTCGGATTGTGGGCATCCGGCATGGCCTGTTGATGTAAAACAAACAGTGCAAACACATACAAACATATACAAACACATTCAAACACTACAAACCATACGATTGCAATATCACCAGCATATAGGTGCATGTATTGACTTAAGCATGAGACATAATTGAGCAAGGAATTGACTTATATACAGTAGTAATGAATCAAACAAAAGCGAGGGCGTTTTGACTATTTTCAATTGTTTTGCTTATATGCCCCACTAAGTGGAACTCCGGGGATTTCGCTAGGGGGTGGAATTAAATTTAAGTGCTCGCATGCCTCTTTTTTCGAAGACTCCAGGTCCCTTCCCCAATTCCCAAGATGCCTTCTAAATCCTCAAAGTCTTCCAGCTCCGGCTGCCGCTGTCGCTGCTTCTCCCTGAAGAGCCTCAGCTACCTGGCTATCTTCCTGGCCCTATTCTCCGCCGTCTACCGATTTCTTGATGCGCGCCTCGAGCAATTCTATATCTTCGACCCGGTGCACCTACACGATGTATCTCAGCGCGCTATCAGCGCCCACGGCGAAGACACCCGCTCTGTCGTCAACTTTATCGTCGCTGAGCTGGAGCAAAAAGTCGGCCCCAACTACCTAAGCACCCAGGAGGAGTGGGTTTTCAACAACGCCGGCGGCGCCATGGGCGCTATGTACGTGATTCATGCTAGTATCACAGAGTACTTAATCATCTTCGGTAAGTTTCGCGCCCGCGATCAAGTCTACCGCGTTCCCTTCTAATCGCATTAAATCTTCGCAGGCACCGCTATCGGAACCGAAGGCCACACCGGCCGCCACACCGCCGACGACTACTTCCACATCCTCCAGGGCACCCAGCTCGCCTACTCCCCCGGAGAGTTCAAGCCGGAGGTCTACCCGGCCGGCAGCGTGCACCACCTAGTCCGCGGCGAGGTCAAGCAGTACAAGATGGATGAGTCTTGCTTCGCGCTCGAGTACGCCCGTGGCTGGATTCCCCCCATGCTCTTCTTCGGTTACGCCGATACTTTCTCCAGCACCCTGGACTTCCCGACGTTATGGGCTACCACGCGCATCACGGCCCGAGAGATGGTTGGCAACTTGTTACAGTTGAAGCTATAATTGAGCATACCGTTTTATTATTGGTATGCAGGCTTCGGTTGGATTGATGAGGTCTATGTGGAATGTATGATATGGGAATTGGGGTGCGATCCTAACACCTGGCGAGATGCTTTTTGGTAAAAGTTAGTAGATATAGTGGATATTTAATTGCTAGCACCGAGCACATTTTTAATAACATCATCAGCTGACTGCCCTTATGACACAGGCTATTAGACTTGAGCTGTGATCTAGGACGCTTTGCCAAGGCTGCTGCCGTTAAAAAGATGTTGGAAGTATGGAAGCCAATATTCCAACGTCGTACCACCAATCATCAGTAGACTGCGAGAGACCTAATGTCTTCCTCAATCATTCTAGAAGACCCCCAAGTCCTGAATTTCAGTACTACTTCCAACGACGGTTCACTAGAGCTACGGAGGCCGTGATCGAGGTCGAAGATATACTGAGGACGAGAATGGAAATAACAGAAGAAGACGGCTGAGATAAGCCTCTATACCTTGTTTGTCAGGCTTCCACAGGCTCATGCCTTAGTTAACAGCCAAGAACGTATCTTTGTTAGGAACCCTGCACGAACAAGCCTATCATGAGCGTTGGCATTTGCCTAGGCTACCAATATGCATGAATCCGCATACTCGTATGCCACGTCACAGAGAGCACTCAGCCGATGTGTGCGTGTGTTGCTAGCTTCTAAGTGTTCCATCGAAACTACGCTGACCATTCCCATTTCTCTCACTGATGCAATCTTCTAACATCTGTTACCAGGCCATATGCTCATGGTTGCTCGAGCAAAATGATACCCTCGAAGGAATTTCATCAAGCAGTTCAAAACCTACGCAGACTAACGGATCAACCATCCGAAGAACACTCTTATCGAATAGAAATCCCACCTTCTCAATCGGCTAAACACTTGCTAAAAGCTGAGGATGAGATGCAACTTGCCGATGATATTGCCTTCCTAGGTCAGGCAGAAGAGGGAGCCAAAAATGTGACGGCTGTGACTCTCCAGGAGAAAGCACCTGGGCTTGTCATTTGCCTCGCGAGCAACCACACGCCATCAGATAAAACAGTTCTGGAATTGAATAAAACCATGGCTTTGGTGAGCGAGTACGCTTCTGAAGGTAGCTCCTTGCATGCAAATGTCATATTCAGGGTGGCTGATTTGTACAGGAAAGCGACGGCGTGAATTTCGTGACAAAATATTCGATATGGTTGTTGACACCCGCGAAGATCGAATTCTTAGCAGAATTCGTCCGCCATGGCTGCCACAGCCTAGCCGCTATTACAAACCGAGGCCGTTTCTACTCTCACAGGTTCAGGTATTTGTTGATGAGATTTCCGTTATCAATAGTCAATCAGCAGGTTTTCAATCTTTGGTGCAACCGGCGCGCCAGCTGATAGCCTGCCTTTTACCTTTCAAAAAATTTGTCCCACAGAGTTTGAGAAAGGAATATCAGAAAAATGTGATAAAAAGCTGTGCTGAATTGGCTGGCGTTGGTGGGACAGGATTGCTGGAGGAACACCTTCAGCGGCTACAAATTTCCGCTCAACTCCGTGACAGAGGTGGAATACGTCAAATTGACAAACTTGCGCGATACTTCTTTGTGTGTCGAGATCTTGTCAGAGTCGGTAGACGTCCAGAGTACAAGCCCCTGTTCAGCGATATTGCGATTGAAACATTGAAAGCTTTCAAAGGAAGGCCAGTAGGCTCCAAAGTGTGCTTTGTTCACGCAGAGATGCAGCAGATTGTTCACTACACGAATCATCCTCATGATCCTAGTCCGCGGTTTATTGGATGTAGCAAGTCTGCATGCTACCTCTGCGATATGTTCATCCAGAAGCATGGGTTATACCGAATCTCACATGCTCACCGTCGGCTTTATGACCTATGGACACTGCCTGATTTGGATTATTCGGCTTCCAAAGAGGCTCAACAGCTCCAAGTCATATTAAAGTCCATGACCAAGGAAATTTCAGCTATAGCCACAGGGTTTCAACGAAGTCTTCCTCCTCCGAAGCAGTACCAAGCGGAGAGCATTGCATTCTTACCTCTTACCAGTGGCTCGACGGCGAGCAATACTTCAGTTGCCACGCAGAAACCTTCCATGTCTTCAGTATCCCCCGTATTGAGCCTCAAGTCGGACTCTGATACCAAGACTGCGAGCACCGGCTTTTCGAGAAACCGATGCGAGAGCTTGTCTAGCAGGACTAGCAATGCGTCTTGTCTTTTGCTCAACCAAGATGACCTGCCATATTCACTTAATATTAAAGACATCAAACACGGCTTTTTGGTACAGATTGATGCAATCTTTCTTGATGTCGAGTTTGTTACCACTGGCCAGCTCTCAATCCGCCATGCAATAGATAGTACACTGCCCAAAGATGTCATAGATATCTCTCAGTTATCTACAATTAGTGAGACAAAGGTGGCTCAAGGCCCAACCACGCAACTATCCTTACGCCACCCCAGCGGTTTTACGATAATTATTGACTTTGTCCGGGATGAGGTCGGACTTGATCACGAAACAGTCATTCCCGTGCGTCCGGATGACTAGGTCTATTGAAGGTTACAATTCGGAATACTATACTATATAGCCTGCTAGTAATAATAACATAGTGAACCTCTATCATGTTTGGTTACAACGAGTCTAAATCAGCATGTCTCTTTCCTTGGTCATGAATCGCTTGCATATCCAAGCTACTCAGTCGTTTCCCTAAGAAGATCCTGTGCATTATGGAACAAAATTCGTTTCGTTGTCTCCGATCCAAATACACTCTGCAATCCATCATCCACTCTCTTAGCCAGAGACTCAGCCAACGCTGCTGGGGTATAGGGGTAATCACTCCCATACAGAAATCTAGACGAATCAACCAGCCGCAGAAGACCATGAATCTGATCCGGGAATGGCACACCCGCAAGATCAAAATAGAAACGCGTCTGCAACAGCTGCTTAATCCTCTCCCCACTAATCCCATCCCCTGGACCGGGAATCATGGACGAAAACTCCGCGATCCTCTCCATAATCGGAGGAAAAGTCGCACCACAATGGCAAGCCACGAATGTAATTCCAGGACAGCGGTCAACAGTCCCAGACGTAAGCAGACTCATAAGTGCCCTGGTCGAATCGAACATAAACTCCATAATAGGCGCCGAGACCCCAGGAAGCAGTACAACCTTCTCCAGGGAGTCATCATCGTGCCGGATGAGACATGTAGTTGGGTGAAAGAAGGCGATGGTCTTTCGCGCACTCAATTTGTCAAAAACCCGGGTAAAGCGCTGATCACCCGGGTAGATGCCATGCGAATTGGTCAGAATCTGAAACCCCACTGCGCCAAGATGGTCCAGTGCATAGTCTATTTCTGCAAGGGAGCCTTCCACGTCTGGGAGGGGGAGAGACGCGAAGAAGAGGAAGTGGGTTGGGTGATCGGCGCAGATTTTGGACATGTCGATGTTGGCCCGTCGGGTTACAGATCGGCCTTCTTCGTCATTTCCCGGGGTTAAATGTGTTGCTGGAGAGGACATGCTCAGAACTGATTTCTTGATTTTCAGCTGGTTCATTAGTTCGATGTGTGCTTCGGGACTCCATTCCTAGGTTCTTGTATTTAGTGTGAAAGTTAGATGGTTGTTCTCGTTCAGGCACTCACTGGGATTGCGGGCATTCCATCTGGGTGACCTCTGCCCGCGAAGTCGCTCTGTAGGCAATACTCGCGATAAGAGGGTGGTACGCAGTGGGTGTGGATATCGATTCTCTCCATTTTCGCTCTGATGAGTGTATGAGTATTTTTCTGGGGGATTGTTGCTGAGTTCATATATCCTGCTACTGAGATCGACATGTCTAGTTCGTATTCTTCACCGGTTGTTCAAACAGTCACTTATTGGTTATTCTGACTCGAGGCAACGACAAGGGATGCATGTCGTGTGACCAACTCCTCCTTATTGCCAATGCCGTGGAACAATGAAACCAACAGCCTGGTTTGGCAAACTGTATATCTAAGACCGAAACAAGATCTAGACTAACGACTATATCAGATCTACTTTTGGCAATTCCTTCGGCACGACAATCAATCCCCTGGCAGCCAACAGCCGGGCCTGGGTGAGCTTTAAGAACCGATATGTGTTATCCAAGATCGGCGTGTGAACACCCTTCTTCCTCGCAACACGCAAAGCATTCCCCAGAATGACCTCCACCTCCATGGGATTTCCTTTATCCACGTCCACTAGCATACTAGGCCGGAAACACAACTCGAGAGGAGTAGCATCAACCATCTCATCCACAATCCCCGGGCCAAGGTCATACCCATCCGCCTTCGCAATGGCCGCCATCTCCGCCATACCGGGTCGAATCAAACTATATTCGCCGCCGAATAGCCGAACTGCAGCACTGTCAAGCTGAGTGAGAGCGCACATGGGATTGAAAATCCCATTCCAGAGCACCTTCCGCCAGCGATAGAAGACGATGTCATCGACAACATTCGCATCGACGACTTTGCTGCTGTTATAGATCGTCGCGAACTCTTCGAGCTTGGCGCGCTCGAACGCCGCGTCCACGGATGGGTTGCGGAATGCGCCAATGTGGAATTTGTCGTGGTCGTCGTGTACCACATGCCCGTTATGTTCATGTGCGCCGATGAAACTCGGCGCTGACAACACCACGTTCTCGGGGAATGCTGCGATGATCGGTGGTTCGATATACAGACCGTTTTGGAATAGGACGATCGTTGTATGACCTGGAGTTATGGCTGGAGCTATGATCTTGGGGGTGTTGTTCACTTCGGGGATGTTCTTCATCGTGACGATCACATAGTCGAATGGGGCGTTGGGATCACCTAGGGGAACCGCGTTGACGACTATCTATGTGTTAGCTTCGACTGGACCGGGCAAGGTATTCTTCGCTTGGCGACTTTGTGAGGTTACATACTTGCGCTTGGTCTCCAGGCTGATAGTTTTCCGTGGTCGATAGACTCGATTTCGAATCCATGCTTGACGACTTGTTCATAATTGGAACGAAGAACAGACGTGACAGATGCCTGACCGGATCTTTCGAGGGCGACGCTGACCATCGTCCCCACACCACCTGATCCAATTACCAACACTCGGCGCTTTGCCGTGGTAGTATCGGACATGTTTGATGATCACTCTTGAGGAGACAATGTTGAGAATTTCCAGCCGATCTGCTACAGAGTTAAGATAAAATGGGACTTTCTCCAAATACAACACCCCACCGAGGCCGATTTATGCAATGCGGGAGGCCGATCTCGGGGCATTTGATTATCTCGGCATCTCCTGCTCTTATCGACATTCTACCGCTCACTGGATGACAATGCCGAACTCCCTTCATGGCTTGATTTGGTTACTCTGTGACATTTGAAATGGGGATAAACTATACAAGCCAATGTTCCACCATGGAACGCGTAAACCATATTCGCAGAAACTGATCGGATGATAAAAAGTGATGTAACATGTCGAATCTTTCAAACCACCTCAAATTATCTTCCATGCATTCCCAAAGCAACCCGAAATGAAGAACCTAGTCAAGCAAATCCGATTCCCAGCGCTCGAGGACATCCTCAACTTCGCACAAAATGTCGCAGAAACCTCGGGCCGATGGGTCAACTGGCAGATCATACGAGGCATGCGACATGTATGGTGGGAGACGGACTGGGACGTGCTATCCCGATGGGCGCAATCGATCATCGAAACAGAAGAGCGCCTGCGCGAAATCACCCAACGCGAGACCTTCGTCAAGAAGAATATCTATAGGTTCCACAACGGCTCCGACGAAGCAGCCAAATCGGTTCTGCCGGATTTCATCGAAGAGCTGATAGCTCTGGACCACGAGTACACGCGCCTCGAGCGGATATACGATACCCTCCTAGCGGGCTGTCCCGTGGGCCCTATCAAGGGCGGATACCTGTGGATTCGAAAGCAGCCGCAGTGGCATCTCAGGAGTGAGTGGTTGCGCCAGGATTGTGCGAGGCGCGGTGGGTGCTGTGGTCGTCGGTGCAAGTGTTGTGAGAAACCGCCCGATCCGATGAGGAAGAAGGGTTGGGGTCATTGTACGGCGAAGTGTGCTTGTTGTAATGATGCGCTTGAGGACGGATTTCGACTGACCGAGAGAAATCGGAGAACATTGCAGCCGGAGTTTGATCTTACTGTTTACCCGTGGAGTGATTATAGTCGAGAGATGTTTCGTGCTTATATCTGGTCGCTTGAATAGGCTCTTTAATAGTTTGCCTTAAGAGGATGTTGCTTGAACGTCCGTTGCTCTGTATAATCAAACGCCGCTTTCCTCTTATCAATGTCCCAGGATAGAACTAAGCGTTTTGCAGGGGTTTAAGGCTTAGCTTGACACAAAAGTCGAAGATACCATACCTAGAGTTGCAGGTCCATGCGAATCAAAGATAATCAAATGATCAGCGGGGAAGCTTCCTAAAATCTCGCCAAGCCGGCATGTTTAACGCATCCTGATTCGACCGAGTAGTTAATATCAGAGCCACTTGGGGAGTACACTGGGAGTTTCCCCGCAGATGATATTCACACTTGATAAGATCTGCGCAGGTGTAAGGCACTGATTGCTTAAATAGGCAGGATCACCTTGCCCATTGCTCGCTCAAGTTCACCTTTCCCTTCAGTATCCAACTCTCAACTATGGAGAATGACAGTAATCAAGATGAGACCATCTGGGCTCCAGGAACAGTCAGGCTAGAAGATAGTAAGTGACCGCCAACCATACCGATACATCTTGACTTACAAAGCCAGTCCACCAATCCAGAGACCAACTGGTCCTATTCCCCACGCCATCAGCCGACCCCAACGATCCTCTCAATTGGTCAACAGCTCGCAAAGCCCTCAACTTCACCCTAGTAAGCTTCTTCGTGCTATGGACTTTTGTCCAACTCGACATCGGCTTTACAGCATGGGGCCCAATGCAAGACGAGCTCAACTTCTCAGTCGATCTACTAAACGCCAACGCAGCGGTCAATTACGGCGGTCTTGCTATAGGCTGCATATTCTTTATGCCCCTGGTCCACAAGTACGGCCGACGCCCAATCTACATATTCAGCGTGGCCGTACAATTCGCATCATCCATCTGGCAAGCCGAGATGTACACGGTCGGCGATCTAATGGGTAGCGGCCTGATATCCGGCATCGGCGGCGCAATCAGCGAGATAGTTGTGCAGATTACCATCGCGGACATGTTCTTCGTGCACCAGCACGCCACTATGAACGGCTGGTATGTCGTCGTCCAGTGTGCAGGAGCATTCCTTGGCCCCGTAGCATCGGGATACATCGTGGTGGCACAAGGGTGGAGGTGGATGTGGTGGTGGTGTGTCATTTTCTTCGGTGTCACACTCCTCTGTGTGGTATTCCTTTTCGAGGAGTCAAAATATGTCCCTTATCTGGATGGTCGGGAGTTTATTGCGGATGCACAAGTGACCGATGAACCGTCCAAATCACACAAAGATAGGGACGCAGCAGATGCAAAGAGCGCCAATGAGACGATCGCTAGCCCCGTACATACCAACCCGGCTATTCAGATGAAGACGTATTTTCAGCGGATGGCTTTGGTGACCATCACCAACGAAGCTCTGTGGCCGCATTTTTATCAGCCAATCGTGGCGCTCTTTACCTTCCCGGCTGTTTCGTATGCAGCTATCACATACGGATCTATGCTGAGCTGGTTCGCGATCATGACTTCCTTACAGGCATCCTACATGATCATACCACCCTATAACTTCGACGCCATTGGGGTTGGGCTGATGAATGTGGCTCCATTTGTTGGCGCTCTTCTAGGTTTCCCCTTTGGTGGACATTTGAGCGATAAATCTATTTTATGGTTATCCAAGCGCAATGGCGGTATTTACGAACCGGAGATGCGTCTTTGGCTTGCTCTGCCTCTTGCCATTATTGGCCCCGCGGGGATATTAATGTTCGGTTTGGGTCTTGCCTATGTGAGTACATCCGAAGCATGCAGTTTGAATATTCTAACATTATCTAGGGTGTGCACTGGGCTCTTCTTGCCGTCGGATTTGGATTCTTTGGATTTACACTCGCTTCAATTAGCGGTATCACCCTCTCGTATCTCATGGATTGCTATCAAGACGTGAGTACTGATCTTATTTCGAGCGTTTGGGTTCTATTTCTAATCTGAGCGCTTCTAGATCATTAGCGACGCATTAGTCGGAGTGATTTTTATGCGAAATATCTTCTCGGTGGTTGTACTTTTTGCGTTGACACCTTGGGTTGATGGGATGGGTTTGCGAGACTTGCATATTCTGCTTGCAGTTATTGCACTGGTGGTCCTGTTGATTCCTGTTCCACTTCTTGTCTGGGGTAAGAAGGCTAGGTTTGCTACGGCCTCGAGTTATAGGAAAATGGCGGCAAATCAGCTTTGCCACCGGACTACTTAGATACCCTCCTACTACTAGAATATATGTGGTAAATTGGAACTCGGCTTTGGCTTTCAGTTGAAGGAAACGACCTTGACGAATATTAAGTAATGTTATAATTTAGACAAGCCCATAAAAATAAGACTAAAGGTGTATAGTGTTAATGAAGTTATCACAAAGAAGAATATAAACGAGCGTTTCAATGTGTTCCTATTTCGCCTGACTCCCCCACCCTATGCAATCCGCATAGAGCCTTCCCACCTAGCGAAGAAGAGTCCCAGACCTAGACGCTCTCCCTCGGCTTCTCATCCTTGTAGTCTTCATATCGAGGCATCTCAAATGTTTGCCGAACCGCATAGGAGACATCTTGCTTATGGTTGGAAGTGATAGTGCCTCCAGGATTGCTCGAGGCCACAAGAGTCCTGTCGGACAGCTCGGATACGTTGTTGGAGGCACGGATTTGAGACCAGAAGTTGCGATGACTCAACTTGAACAAGGGGCGGAGGTTGGGGAGACAAGCAGCCGTGATTCCAACTGCTGCTTCGATACAGGTCCACACGATGACGGGAACTTGGTTATCTGAGCATGTGGTTAGGGATATGGATCGGGAGATTGAAAGGAATATTGGCACAGTCGATACTCACAGGTAATGTCAGGACCTAGCTCAACCAGTCGGATCATGGCATTGAGGCGGAAGATATCGAAGATCAAGGTTCTAGACATGAAATGTTAGTATTCTTTCACTGTAGCGCGAATGGGATATCAAACATACAAGCCACCGACGAGGAATACTCCAGAAAGAAGCGCCTTCTGGCCGTTTGAGATCGGTAATGTCCACACGACTCTCATGGGCATGATCAAGAGAATGATGTCGGAGAGGATGTTGGGGATTTGGATTCCATAGTAGAATTTGGCTGGGTCAAGGCAGGCTCCTTCAACCGACTGGTCCCAGAACCTTTTGACGGGGATACACAGAAGAGCGCCGGCAACGTAAACACCCACAACCCAGAGAGTGACGAATCCGAACATGATGTTCACTGCAATTGTCATGTGTCGGACTGCAAAGAGTCGCCTGTACAGCGCCAGAATAGAGTATTTAATGAAGGCGATGCAGCCGGTGTAGATAAAGGCGTTGGCAAAGCCGAGCTATCTTGAGTCAATACGTGCATTTGATAGTTATAGGGCTGAGGGGTTACATACTTGGAAGTAAACCACGAGGTTTTTCGCTGGGATCATTGTGATGTGTGACCCCATTCCATTGAATAGGACTAATATGGCATTAGTATAAAGTGGGTTTAATGGGCATTTTGATATCACTCACGAACAACGACTCCACTTGAGCATGCATATTTAAAGAACAGAGCAACCATAATCAAGTAGTCGTCCATGAAAAGCCTACTCCCAGTCACCTTCCTCGCCAGGATCCTGAGAGCAACGGAGAGAGTCGACAACGTGTAAGCAAACACCAGGGCAATAATCATCGACCGGCGTAGCTCCTGGTTCGGGTGTTCGAAGTCTCCTGGTGTCCACGTGGGGGTGGAGGAATCTGGGGAAGACATGACAGGCAGGTATGGTGGATCAACTCAAACAACAAGGTAAGATTAAACGAGAGGAAGTTGTTGGCTTGAATGATTTGGAATCATTTAAGGCTGCGTCTTGGGTCTTTAATATACTTCGAGAAGATGAGGAAGGGGGAAAGGGATCTACGTATGTAGTCTGGATATGTCATATCTTTTGACATCCACGAAAATACCGCAAAGATGATATGAAGAGTATACCGATCACATTGATGACAGGGTATTTGCTAGGTACGGATGGCAGTTCAGCTCAGGCACCCTCCAATGCGAACGACTACTGATTGATTGTAGTGTGCGACTATTTTGCCTTAGGAAAAGCTAGATGATGTTAATCAACGGCCCGTCGGATCATAAAGCAACAAAGCATTGTATACCTTGGCCGTGGAGGTTTCACCAATCATATGGAGGCCAAGGAACCCTTTCCGGACGTATCATCTTGGAAGAGTGGATATATCAGATTCGGATCTGACACTCATGAGATCCACTTTATGCAAGTTATTTTTTTCCGAAAGCCCGGCGGATAGATGTGTTGAACAAAATGACAGCATGTTCTAGCGCAGTACGTCTTTGATCGAGATAATTACTGGAGATATGCGTGAAGAATGATTGTTCATTGCTTTGCAGTCAAGTTCTCATACTAGAAGATTACTCAACGAAATTCGGAATTCATCACTATATTTCAAGCAAGGGATTAGCAATAAATAATTTTACACGGTTTTGAGATATAGATTCTCCTACGATAGAGTTTCCCAGAGCTCTATCGTAGGAGAACCTAGAAATAGAGGCATACACGGAATATCTGGCTTTCTCCATATGTACCACGTCCAATGTAGCCAAAAACGCCGAAACCGCCATGATCGTCCAATAATTGAAAACAATGCGGGTTGTGCCATATAATACAGATGTGAAGCCACTGTTTTGGCAGATCCATGTATAATGAGACAGTTGACGTCTGGGGTTGACCCGATATGATATGTCTAAAGCACAGCAGACATATCCGATTGCGGCCCACATGGTGGCATTTAGTGGAATTCAGCCGTTATGTTGATCCACATGACAGCGCTTTTGCCATTGATTATGAAGTTGATATACGTCTCATGCAGCTATTGCACTGCCGCTGCACTTCGATTGCACATCTATACCCGCTTTTCCTGGACTGTCGCACATGAATACGATGTTAAAGCGATCTCAATTTGAATTTCTTAATACATCGTTCATGCACAGTTTTGTGCAACATATGTTGTACAGCTTAATTGTCGATGGAAAATGTTATGAATCCACTTTTCACTCCGCACGGAGATCCCCGATCTTCGCGAGTGGCTATATCGGAGATTAGCCCGATCGAACGTCCGACTCTTCACAGAGCTGAGAGCATGTCATTGGAAGGTCCACATGGGTATATTACGTCTTCATAGTTTATGTTCGCCCTTGCCGTTCTGTGGCTCAATGTCCTCGACAAAGTTCGACGGAAAGTCTAACATCCCGGATTTGCAATGCCTCAAATTTATATATACTTTGATCGTCCCGGCTGTTGACTCTAGGAAGCAAGTATAATCCAAAACAGTTAGCATCTTCCAAGCTATCCACACTACGAGCAAGGTACACACCTATAGTAACACATAGGGCCATTCCATTGAAGCACACGAGGGAAAGTCGCACACATATTACATATTTGCAGCTGCCGTGGTCCAGATTCCGACCTGCAGCTTTATTATCCGCAAGGGTGACGACACTATCAATGTTTCAGAGCCGCAATGTGTCTTTCCAAGGTTGCACCTTTCCATGACTCGGGAAGATCCCTGTCCCACAATCCTTTCTAGTGGTATCATTGGATGCTGAGGCAATGTTTGCTGCGTCTGGCTCCACTATGGGGCTACGGTAAAGTGATTACCCTTCCGGTCCAATTGTTGACGCCGATAGCAATCGACTTGGGCATGGACCCTTCCAATAAACAGACGCGATGCTTTAGATGCACGCCATCGACGATTAGCGTCAAGCCGCAGGATCGATCAGAGAAATGCCCCTACCAAAAATATTGCATTCCCGAAGCTCTCCCACTAAAATATCGTCATACGCGAGCATGGCCAAAGTCGCTCTTATCACCGGCGGTAGTATGTAGCTTTCTATCCTCGGATCATTCATTCACTAAGTTTATTGAAAAAAGCTAGTGGAATCGGGCTTGCAGTTTCCAAGGACCTGAGCCAGACCGGCAGCTGGCAGGTCAACATTATCGGCACCAACCAGGAGCGAGGCCAAGAAGTAACAGCCTCCCTCTTAAATGTCACATTCTACCAAGCCGACGTACGCAATTACCAACAACTAGCCGCTGTATTTGACCAGATCTTCAATGCCACTGGCCGAATAGACTTTGTCTTCGCGAACGCCGGAAGAGCAGATTATACCGATTTCTTCGCTAAATCTGAGACCGGCATCCCACCCGAACCGAGTTCTGAACTTGTTGATGTCAACGTGAACGGCGCTCTATATACCAGTTACCTTGCGATGCACTATTTCCGTCGCTCTCCGGAGTTAACGAAAGGACATAGGAATTTGATACTCATGTCGAGTATCGGGGGACTATACCCCTGCATGTTGACCCCGGTGTACTCTAGCACTAAACGTAGGCTGAGAATTAGCAATTCTAATAATTTTGCCATCAGACATGGCTAATAAATTCCTAGATGCGCTCATTGGATTCACTCGCTCTGTCGGAGAGCGACTTTGGGAAGACGGAATTCGGGTTAATGCTCTGTGTCCTGGGGTGGTCGAAACGCCCCTTCTTTCCAACGAGGCGTTTAATGCGATCTTCTCGCGGGAAATACTCATTCCTATAGACGTTGTAACTGGTGTAGTATCAGAGCTACTGTCTGGGGCGGATATGGTAGTTGCCAAAGGGATGCGTGTCGCTGGTAATGAGATGCATTCCCGGGCGCTTCATGTTTCAGGAAAGAGCTTTCTTTTTATTGAGAAGCGCGAGTTTCATGATGAGCAGTCTCGGATAACTTGGGCTGCAATGATGGGGCATAAATAATTGGAAGCGTAAATGCGAGGGAAGACCCAATGAGCTCGAGATAAGGTCCCAAGACTTATGTCGCCGTTTTAACATTTGATCGCTCTATATTCCTGCCTATCTGGTTTCACAGAATTCACGTTCAACACTCGGAATGTTGAAACACCTGATGCACATGTTTAAACTCAATTTCCTTGCAAACCCCTGGCAGGTAGAAGATCCCCCATGCCATGAGAACAACTGCCGTCTGATAAAAGTCAAATGCATAACTGGGCCACTCATTGACTGCCATGAATTGATCGGGTCCCATCCCAAGCTGTGTCAGTCGCATCACATTGCGACCAGTAGCAATAATCGAGATTGCAAGACCAAACAGCTGATTATAAAGTTTCCAATGAGGCATCGTGAGTTGGATATTGGCGAACGAGGGTCGTCCAAATCGAACAGTCCAGAATATATTCTCCACAAGAGTGAATATCCAAAATACCATCTGGCATACATAACTCGCTGTGAGAATATTTGTTGCAGACTCAATGAGTGTAGCCTTATGGGTCAGAGCAATAATCATAGCACCGGTGCCCTGAAGTAAAAAAAGGACAATGTTGGAAGTGAGGTAAATAGGGAGTCGTAATTGGGTAGGGAGCAGACCCAGATTCTCGGACTCCAAACAGCGCATCATTTTGACTTGTGTGAGATTGACGGTAAACATGCAGAGCGTTGGCCCAAGGATGAGAAACATATTTTGAACGCCGTAGGCTCCAAAGCTATAGACATCTTCTGAGGAGAACACTCGAGCCCCCAGACCCATTGCTTGAACTATGGAATTGTGAGCGGGAGAATATTCTAATCGGACTTAGTTGTTTCATACCTAGGGCTGCTACCAGCATATAGCTACCATCCCATGCTCGAGAGCGACACATACGGACCGCATGTGTTGCAAACAGGGCGCAATATATACCCACTCCAATGACCGCGGGAATCAAACTTGGCGTATATGGATAATAGGCGGTTGAAGACATCATATTAGGAAGGATATATAAAACAAAGACCAATTGGCTCTTGAAGATGTAAGTAAGTAGTAATGAAAGCGAGCATCACTGAAAAGTCCGGATCCCCCATGGCATTTATAACATTGGACCCTGAGTAGGGGACCACTAACTCGATGCAGATCAGATCTCAACTGAGTAATCATAACATAGCTCTTGATGGCAGCCTAGGGGCCCTTGTGAAAGACTATTTCGACAACCTACAATGTCTCGGCGGAGGGTCGGGTTCGTACTCGGGTTCGTAAAGGAAAGGTTAATCTTATTTCGTGCATTCCTCAAGGCAGGTACATTATAGATGAGGCTAATCTGTTCTCAATTGTAAAGGCACCAACATATCTTATTCTTCAATAATATTGACGACCAAGAGGTTCAGGCATGGGATGATCACCTCCTTCCAATTAAAAATATAATATATAATAATTAAGACACGCTCCTGTCGTGCAGAGAAGAAAAAATAGAGATCAATTTAATCTTGGCAGTTCAAATCATTCGCCATGCGCCTCCAAACAAATTCAGGCAGCCTCCCATGAATCCAATAACCACCATCATTCCCATCCTGGCTCCGCCCTTTCCACGTCACAACCAAATCATCCAAGTGAGTCTTGGTCTGTCGCAGAAGTCCGCAGTAGTCAACACTGCCCTGTACGAAGAGCGGACATTCGCCTTCGATATCGAGACCATAGAGCGGCAGGCTTTTCCATGAAGTGATGCGCGGTTGAGCCGCGCGGCTGCCGTATGATTTTGGGACCATGGGTCTTTTCGTCGGGTTTTTGTGCTGAGCGATTATCTCTGCGATGCATTCTGATTGCTGCCCTTCGTGAACCGCACGCCGAATGTGTGTTGCCAGTCGAACCAATGAAGGGGAGTCATATTCGCTTGTTGGTATTGGATCCGGCAGGGGCATCATGTACCAGGGGTTAGAAAGGTTTGCCTCTGACTGGAGTTGTTTTGAGATATCGATGGTTAAGCCGAAGTTGTGGGCAGTCGGTGAGTGTAAAGAAGCCTGTGCAGGTATGGTCTTAGTGAGCTTCTCCAATTTGGGGCAAACTGTATGACAGGTAGCATCACTGACCTTGTAGATAAAAGCCAGCAAGAGATCATGTTCAGTTACCTTGACCTTTTTATTTTCGGCCTCTTCTATCCATCTCTGGATTTGCCCTCGGGGGACCAACAAGGTCTTGCCGATCCGTCTCGCTGAAGGGTAGCATATATTTCGCCCAATCTGTTTCCCGAGGGCCGTAATTCCTGCTATCCAAGTCCGATTCATGGAATATTTGTGCAGATCTGCGATTCGATGACACTCAATCTTCTCCACGCATTTTTCGATTACTTCTGTTTTCAGTGACAAGAGTGGTCGGGCATGGAGGCTGTGGGTAATCTTTTCTCCCCTAAGCAGGCTACAATAAGCCTGGACTATTTGATGAGCACCTATAATCACCTGTCAGTTCTACTTCTTTGTGCTTTCTAAGGCGTCAATTACCATTTGCATCGCAAAGAGGCTGCAGAAACTGGAATCCTATTATGCAGGCATCGGTCAAGAACACCGTTCGTATAGAGAATACTCGCTGCCTCCATGCATGCAAGACTCCATACCCAAAATCTAACGCCTTATCGAATGCCTCGGAGTCAATCAATTGTGGTGAGTCCGGCTTGGGGGAGACTTGGAGAATCTCGCTGAGCTCTTGCTTAAGGATTTTCCCTTTCCACACTTCGGCTAGGTCACCGGGGTCTTTCGGATCCAAGAATTTCGTTTTCTGTTTAATGTTAGTATAGTTAATGACCGTGGTTGACGTTACCAAGCACGTACCAGCGGATCCATTCGCAAGTTCAGTACAGGCCATTGTGACACGAGTGTATCGGCGGCGAACTGAAAGTCGAGCGGGCTAGGACTGGTCCTCACAACGATTGACAGAGCGAACTCGAGAGGTCTGGCATAGCCCATATCCAGTGGACTTGGCTTCATAATGAAATTTACAAAAAAATAACAAAATAACACGAGATCCAAAAACCGTGCTTATCAAACCGACCCAATGTTATATTAATAATAAAAAGAGACAGAGTGAGGCCGTCACGGAAATCAACATGTTAGTATCTGCATATCTGCATATTGATCTGTTGACCCCAACTTTAACGTCTCTCCCCACATAATTGCCCTCTGGAATGCCCACCCTGTGGATCTCCTCCAATGAGCTTCCTGGCATGGAATTCTGCACCATGGTAGAGACATCTTTGGAATGCCGTATGCCCCCACACAGACCCCTATGTCGCTCACAATTGCCCAAACCTAGCAGCAGTCTTGTTAGAGGAGATTGGAAATGTGCGGGCAGGTTGTCCACCAATCGTAGTCGAAGATTGCAGAAATATTAACTCCTGTCATTCCCTATACGAATTCCAGCTAATATCAAGTATGATGTTGGTTGTGATGAATCGATTGTCTGATATCCCGTGATGATGGATGCCGGGATCAACCGAGCCACTAGCCGGCCGTTACATTTTTTACAAAATTACAGACCCCTTTCAGTGTGTAATTTTTGTAATAAATGTAACGACCCGGTTAAATCGTGACTAGCGTACGGCGGTCGAAACCGACTCTCCTGGCAACTTCGAACATGCTTGAAAGTTGGCATCTTTGGCACCTCTGAATGGCTTCTCTATCTCTGCCTCCACCTGGTTTCGACGTCGGTATTGACCGGTTTTCCAGCCTTCCTGTCGAGCTTCTCATTTGCATTTCCTCTTACTTGACCAATCGCGACCTCAAGTCTCTACGCTTGGCATGTAGACTCTTGGCTCAAGTCGCTCATATCCGTGTGAATCGTGTTTTCCTCTCCGCCAACCCATGCAACATCAGAGTCTTCCGCGCAATCGCAGACGACGAAGATTTCCGGCATCATGTCACCGAGATCGTATGGGACGATGCTCGTTTTATCGAGGGCCCAAAGCCGCATCCCCACCCCACTGGGGAGATTGACGAGGCAGACATAGACCCTGACCAAGGATGCCCCTACTGGTTTGTCGCGGCATGTAAAGAGAACATACATGACCGAAATGTGCGGAAGACCTACGACATAGTGCGGCCAGATGACGTCGCACGGGGAAAACAAGTTATTACGCAACTATCGCTGAAAAGCTGCTGGCAATTTTACCAGAATTTGCTCCAGCAGCAGAAAGACGTTCTTTTCTCAAACAGCGATGTAGACGCGTTTATCTACGGAGTCGGGCGATTCCCAAAATTGAAACGAATCACCATCACTCCCGCAGCGCACGGGTGGATCCATGCCCCATTATATGATACCCCTATGATTAAGTCCTTTCCGTGTGGATTTAACTACCCGATTCCACGGGGATGGCCGACGTCGAGAGATTCGCAGATTCCGCTACACGCCCATCCATGGAGAGAAGCCACTGAGGACCGGAAGAACCAATGGCGTGCATTCCGAAACGTGGTATCTGTGCTCGCAAAAAACAAGCTGCATGTCCCAGAATTGGTTCTTGCTGTCAATCAGCTTCCGACTGGGCTTAACTGTACTATCTTTGATCAGCCATGCGAGGAATACGACAACCTCCTTACAATACTTCGGAGCCCTGGGTTTTGTCGTCTAGATCTTCCACTTCTTGTGGGTGGGCAAGAGCACGAAGACTGGCTCTCATTCCGGAGCGGTTATCTTAAGCACGCTTTGTCCGAGGCGAAGAATATGAAGTACTTCAGTTTTAGAACAACAGTCGACACCGATGCCATACGTGACATCTCGGGCAATCCCACCCACTTCATCCCACTAAAGACTATCCTCCCTGTGGAGGAGTGGCCAGAACTCCGTTCCTTCAGATTATCGGGTTTCCTAGTGAAGCAGGGAGACATGATAAATTTCCTCGCTGGACTGCCGAAGACCACATGTGTTATCGAATTGAGTTTCCTTGAATTCCTTGATGGTTGCTGGCATGGTCTGCTCACTGAAATACGTGACACATTATGTTGGGACCAGCGAGACAAGGAATCAAGACCCAAACTCATTATTGGTATAGCGGACTCGATGCGCAGGGCAGGATTTGGCATCTGGCTTGACAACGAGGTGCAAGACTTTATTTATGGAGATGGACCGAATCCTTTTTATCCCAACTATGGCGACTACCTAGGAGCAGGAAGAGTGGGAACCTGCCGGGATACATTTGAGCCGGGGCGTCCGCGGCGTAATGTGGATCGTTTTACTATAGCTCGGATGGGGTACTTCATGGCAGAGCCCTTCGCTGACATGTTGTAGTATGTAACTAACTATAGTCTGCTTCATCGTACCTTCGAACACATACACATCGTTCGAATCCATATACAATGAACGTGGCATTGGGAAGAAACCAACTGATAGACCGCTTGGTAGAAATGTGGATAGAAGAAATTGTAAACTGAAAGGATGGAGACTGTTTCTGCCTAGCAGAGGACCGCAATCCGTTCGGCACGATCTCGACCCTAGAGCTCGGCACTACGATATGTGTGAAATTGCGAGAATTGCTAAGGACAAGGACAAATTCTTGACTCCCCTTGAGAACAGCGATAACGAGAACGGCTTGAAGCGCTATTGACCAGCCAACCTCTTTCATACGTCTCGCGCGAAGTTCCTCGTACGACGCGTGCTTTAGGTCTTATCTGACTGATGACCACCCTCTACTCAATCTCTACCGTCAACCACTATTGAGACCAAACCAGCAAAGCCTAAAAGGGAAGCAAAAGAGAAAATAGCAAACCATCTGGTCTGGCCAAGTCCTTGCCAAGGGCCTCAAAATCGAAACCTCAAGGGGACAGCAGGCGAGGTGGTGTGCGGAGAAGTACCCGGCTGCAACAACACGTTAAACAAACCAGGCGGTAGTTGGGAACAGGCCCGGCTGTCCGGGGCTGCGAGGCTCGGAGCTCTGGCGACTGGGATTCTCCTAATCTCCACCAAATGGCTCGGCCGTTCAAGATTATTCGTACTTCGTTTGCATTCTCGCAGGAGGGACCGTTGGGGCTGCAGAGAAGCTATGCGTTGAGGAGAATAAGAATATTTAGTTTTTTGCTGATCGGTCAAAGCTTTACTCTCTGCAGGTGGCTAAGAAGAGGTGTATGGCCTTTTTGCTCTGTTATACCGGAAGGGAAAGCCTATAGCGCACCTAGATAAGAATGTAGAGGCTTCAACGTGAATGGCACTGGTGGTTAGGAGTGTAGAGTATAGTACTGTGAGCGACGGAATCGTTAATAAGTTTGCTTGTCGGATGCAAAGATTGACTAATGCTTGATGAGGGAAATTCATTTGTGTCCTTTGTGAATCAAACTGACGGAGGTATTTGCTGAAACTTGAAAGTGAACAAAACGACATAATAAACAAAACAAACGATGGCAAAATAAACAAAACACGAACCATATATGCTCGTACAGAGGCTTCGAAACGTATATATAACCATCAAACGTTCCCATCCTGAGGTAGACCTTTCTCCGTCATCAGCTTATTCAGTGTTGCGGCATCAATCCGCTCATCCATGTCCGGGTCCAGTAGATCTCGAATGATATAACTAAGCGACTCATCTTGTTGATCTAGCTTTAGCCGAGCAGCCTTGACCAGGTCAATCCACTGGAGCATCGTATCGACAGCTTTCATATAGGGTGACTGATGTATGTTCGTAATCAACCAATGCGGTGTTTTTTCAGGCAAGGGAATGTGGCCTAATAGCCAGAGTATGACAATACCCAAGGCCCACATGTCAGATGGCGGTCCACGTAACTTCCAGTCCAGCAAGAACTCGGGTGGCAGATACCACGGCGAGCCACCACCGGGCGAAGGATTGCCATCCCAGAAGCTGAGGCCGAAATCGATCAAAATGGCACCCCGATCAGGGCTGTAGAGGATATTGCCTGGCTTAACATCGTTGTGAACAATTTTATTGCCATGGATAAAAGTAAGTGCCGAGGCCATATCAGCCAGGATCTTCTGCGCATCTGAGGAATCTCCGATAAAAATGCCACTGGCTTGATGCCGCTGACACCAAAGTGATTCGGCTTCGACGTGCTCAGTATATATACTGTGGAACCGGGCGTCAGATCCGAGCATGCGAAGTATAGCGGACTAGTGAGCGTATCAGTTCTGGGACCAAATGAACGGGACGAAAGGACATACATGGCTTTTGAGAGAAGAGTGGATCGCCGATTCATGTATCCAAGATTCAGCAGCCCGGATTGCGTCCCTCTCACTTCTGCCGGTGGTTTTGATTACTTTGACAACCATGAGCTTGCCTGGCATACCCGAGTGCTCTGCCTGCCATACAGACGAATTTGCCTGCTCTACAATAGTCCTGCATCGCGTGAGCCGATATCCTTCGTCGCCAGCTCCGACAAACATAGTATCGCCTTTTGCAAGCTTCACAAGTGCGTTACCAGCCGAAACAGCCTGCATACCACGTGAAGGCTCAATCGCTCGGTATGTGGATTCTCTCGATTTCACCCTCTTTGACGGAGGAAAGTCGGATCCTGGCGCGGATCGTTTAGTTGCCGTTTTAGCAGCTATCTCCCATGAAGTTCGCGGGAGTATCTCGAATTCGACGAGGGTTATGCCATTGATCTCGATAGCACAGGAACCTTTGTATAAAAATGCAGGGTCTGTAGGCAAAACCTTCATCGATTCCTTATTAAGCCGCACGTCGAGGGTTTCAAAAGAACAGGCATTCCGGAGAATGAGACGATCCTCGCCAGGGTCCAAGTACAAGTGAAATCTCATATCATGATGGGTAACGGTGCACCCGACTTGCTCGGCGTTCGGAGCCACGACGAGGACCCTGGCTGATTCGCTTTTCTCTGGACAGTCACCCAATTGGACTTCAACCCAGTTGTCATAGTGCCCGGCTCCTTTGTAGGGAGATATATCGAGCTCAGTGACCCTGGGATATAGAATAATTCTAGCTGTCGGTTCGTTGGACGTGATCGAGTCCAGACGTAGCATGCTGAAATCCAGGTCCATGGATTGGTTTCGGCTCGTTTCTAGATAAGGAGGCGAGAATGTCTGGGTTGGTTCTGTCAAGCTGGGATGAACTTTCGTTGAGCTCGGGCCAGCCTCTGTCGAGATGGGATGAACTTTCGTTGAGCTAGGGCCAGCCTTTGTCGAGATGGGACCAACCGTCGATCTAGGATCAACTTCGGTCAAAGGCAACGTAGCCACTTCATCCTCTCTGGGCTCCTCAGTGTCCTCACTTTGGCCTGTCTGGCCAAGCTTCCGTTTAGACTTGGAATTGAGTGCCATTCCGGGACCGAGAAGCTGCTCATAAGCAGACTATAGAAGTTTGCCATATTATTCGTATTACCATCTGATATATGTATGCCGTGATTCGCAATAGAACCGAAGCGCCGGCGGAGCGCCCACGGAAATAAACCAGGCACATATGCATGCACAATCCAACTTGCCGCTGGACATAGTAGACCGAGAGTGAGGGCCAATAGACTAAATATAGCCGTGCATGGCCATGTCAGCACTAAGCTTGAGCGTCTTAGATTGGCCGGAGCCCATGGCTGAGGCGCCAAAACTGGTTTCGAGTATAAATAGAATGTCCTTTGATTCTGCAATGTTAATTCGATCGAGTCCAGGCGGTGAGTACGTTGTTCTCCGCCCTTTTAGTGTGGGGCCCCTGGGAGGGAATGGGGGGCTTGCCCATATCATAACATAAATCAGTAACTATAGCAAGAGATATTATCTTTACTACCTCCTCCATGGCTAAGCGGTGGCATCGGACAATAGACACTCATCTGGGGGCTCATACTCCTCCTGACCCAAATTATTACGAAAAAACGTGGTGCTGGGAGTCCTCGAGAGTCGGCTACAAGGATCCCAACGTTCTTTTTACCACACTACATGAGGAATACAACACCCTAAAGTGCGCGATTCAAGACCCGGAGGCTTGGCATCGCGACGTCTCTTGCATTGCGAGGGCTTCGAATAACAACGATGAATTCCTAACTCTGCTTAAACAGCGACAAGCAGAGAGGTTTCACGAGATCCAGACAACCTGGCAAAAGACCAAAACACGGTTAATTACGGATCCTGCACGTTGGGACAACCCGCCAACCAAAGCTGTTTTATGGAGCAATTTTCTACAATTTGCTCGAAATTTCTCATACGATTGCCTCGTCACCTGCTTTGGCGCCTACGCGACTGATGCCCAACCCTCTGCTCAACCTCTGCTATCAAATTCCATTGAGGTCCACCCTTCCAAACCTCAAAAGCCCAAAAGAGAACCAAAAGAGAAAATGGCAGCATCCTCTGGCGTGACCAAGTCCTCGTCAAAAGCCTCGAAATCGAGACCGAAATCGAGACCGAAACGGGACAGCAGCAGGCAGGACGGTGTGCGGAGAAGTACTCGGTTACAACAACGCGCTGAACAATCCAAGTGACAGTGTGCAGGACGCACCTCTCTTGAGGAAAAGCTGAACAAGGCTGAAAGAAGATTTGCTTCATTGCAGCCTGGAATTGTGGACTAGGGCCACTGTTCCCAGGGAATCCCTCCCCTCCCATTGCATCGGGTGATACATAGTCTTCTCTAGTATGCCCGGTCTTGGCTGCTATGTATCGGATATGCCCAGTGGGATGGGACTGGTTCTTTTGTTTCTGCCTTGGCCATTATATACGTTTACACTGTGTCCATTCCAAGCATGTGTACTTTGATTACTTTGAGCTATCAGACCTGTTGGCGTAATGATTCTCTTGACAAACAGCACAGATTGACTCCGCTAAATGAATTTGGTTTTATAACAAGTCTTGGTTTATAGGCATCTAATGACATAGATCAATGTGATACGTGGTGCAGTCATCTCGTACCAGTTTGATGATATCAAGGTAATCAGGCTACTCAGCGTAAAAATAAGATAGTCTGGCTTGATTTAAGCCGTTTAACCCTCCAGACTGGCAAAGACCGAGGATAGAGATGATATAGATCTAACCATGGAACCCACAGACTTAGCGCCCTGTGCACGGACCACTTGATCGACCGCGGAGGAAAAGAAATTCTTCTCCGCCACCAACTCACAGGCCCAACCAATTCATCATGGCACCGACGGCGTGTTTCAACTGCAAAGAGGCGCGAGCCGTCATCATCCGGCCTAAGAATAGGCACAAACTCTGCCGTGCATGTTTCATCGATATTTTCGAGACCGAAGTACACGAAACCATCATCGGCACCAATCTCTTCTTCCCCGGCGAGCGAGTAGCGATCGGCGCCAGCGGCGGCAAAGACAGCACAGTACTCGCAGCCGTACTAAAAACCCTCAACGAGCGATATAAGTACGGACTAGACCTATGCCTACTGTCGATCGACGAGGGCATCCGCGGCTATCGCGATGACAGTCTCGAGACCGTGAAGCGCAACGCCGTGCAATACGAGATGCCACTTGATATCCTTGGATACAGCGAACTCTACGGCTGGACGATGGACCAGGTCGTGGAACAAGTGGGCAAGAAGGGAAACTGCACGTACTGCGGTGTGTTCCGGCGGCAGGCGCTCGACCGAGGCGCCGCCCGCTTGGGCATCAAGCACGTTGTCACAGGCCATAATGCGGATGATGTTGCTGAGACTGTTATGATGAATCTCCTGCGTGGTGATCTGCCCCGTCTGTCGCGCGGCACTAGTATTGTCACCAGCTCTGACGCTTCGGATATCAAGCGCAGCAAGCCTCTCAAGTACGCTTACGAAAAGGAGATCGTCCTCTACGCCCACCACCGCCAGCTCGACTACTTCACTACCGAATGTATCTATTCGCCGGAGGCATTCCGCGGCAGTGCTCGTACCCTGATCAAAGATCTTGAGAAGATTCGTCCCAGTTCCATCCTCGATATTGTCAAGAGTGGCGAGGACATGGCCGCGCTTGTGCCGGTGGAAGTCCGGGGTGTGGGCAAATCCAAGCAGGGTGAGGAGGAATCAGCTGGTGGATGTGGTAGTCAAAATGGCCGAACCAGTGGAGGAGAGATGGCTGCAATGGAGAAGGAGCTCGCTGAGAACGACACAGCCGAGTCGCTGGAGACTGAAATCAAGATTCCTAACGGTTCACGCGTGAAGGCGAATCGCGGGCCAACGGGTAAAGCGGTCAAAGTGCAGACTATCAAACACTGTGAGCGCTGTAACTACATCTCTAGTCAGCGGATTTGCAAAGCGTGCACGCTGCTAGATGGTCTCAACCGGAACCGGCCCAAGACTGCGATCGAAGTTGGTGTTGGCATGGAAGACGAAGAAAGCAGTTCTACTTTGATGAGACAAATGGAGCGCGCCCAGCTCAGCGCTACCTGAAGAGTCAATCAGGGAAGCATGTTTATTCAAACCAACCTTCAGCGCCAGGGCATCTCCACCATGACCCTTTTGCTAGGCCGTCACCTCTGCAACACAATCACACCCAGTGTCAACATCAGGTGTCCATTCTCGGTGCCCTCAACACTGTGCGGCAGCCCACATGGTTCTCATGAACAAGTTTTCAGGTCAGGAGGATCATCAGATACCCCAAGTTACGACTGAAACATCCAAAGTCAATGCATAACATAGAGAAGGTTTCAAAAAACAACAAGTTCTGCTACTTGGCAATGCTCTCTATTTTATTTTATACATGAACCATAGTATACAAATCCCAAAAATCAACAACAACGCCATTCCATGGACACATACATCCCAGCAAAATCACACTATCTTCACAAACTTTCAACCAAGCCTAGCACAACCCGCCTCTTGCGTAGCATCAGAATGCAGATCGTGTCCACAATCGACTTGTCACCAACAGAACAAGCTAAACCAAGGCGAACAAAGAATCCCTCCAAAACTCAACCAGACTCACTTTTCCTCTGGAACATGCAAGTCGGGCAACTCAAACCCAACCCGTCTGGCCGTAAGACGAATCTTCTCCTCCTCATCCATAGCCGCACCAGGGTTATAGCGCTCGACGAGCTCAGAGTAGACGCGCTGGGCGCGGGCATACTGAGCGAGCTGGTCTGCTTCTTGGACGCGGATGAGCCGTTCCTCGTCTGTTGTTGGGATTGAGAAAGTGAGGACGTTGGATTGCAATTCTGGTTGAAATGAGGATACCGACGGTTTTGAGCGGAAGATCGCACGTAGTTGTTGGTGGAGTGGGGAGGGGGTTGAGAGGCTGCGGCGTGGGAGTTCGCGGAGGAGGGCGCGGTAGGTTGTGCGCATTGGGGTTGTAGACATTTTGAGTGAGGTTTGTGGTCGGTTCAGTGGGTTTTATTAAAGTGTTCTAAGACTCTGGTGCACCGGGGTATTGGAGGTGAGTTTGGCTTGGGTCATAAAGATGATCGGATGGATACATAACTAGAGAAGACCTCGGGACAAATTAAGCATTTTTCCGCCTTTTTCTGCCGTCTACCTGCCTCGATCCACGAACGGTAGGGCTTTGAGCCACTCCCTGCGTTCTTCATCATTCCTGGCTTCACGATCCAAGAACCTCTTCACCCCCTCGTCTAGCTCTCTCCTGGATTTTTCATAATCTACATCGCTAACCCTACCATCCCAATGCTTGAAACAGCCAGTGTCGTCAACGAATGCATTCATGAGTTCAACACCTTGGGCCCACAGCTCGCCATCCTGCTCCTGCTGCTGGATTTCTTTGTCCGAGAATTGTAGTGGGAACGGCGTTCCAGGAGAGCTGCCATCCCGCCCAACGCCAATAATATGTGCCCATTCCTTCTCGACATCTCTCAGCAGGCTGTTGAGAAGGGGCTCGTAGTCCATCAAGACTAATCCTGGAACGACACTAACCTGCTGCCGGAGAGTATTCTGGCCCTGTATCGCTTGGAAGACCGTTTCGTTGAGCTGAAGACACCGAACTAGATAGAGATTGTGCAGTGTCTGTGCTCTATGGAGTGATTTTGCCTTCCGCTGTTCATCTAGATCCATAGAGTCAAAGTTCGGTGGCAAAGGGACCTTCCCCAAATCTTCAGGAACCGGGCCGTTGTAATCGAGAAATGCTGGGCGCCGAACCTGCGTAAAAAGCGGACATGCACTAACGGACTGCCAGTCGATAATTCCCACAATACGGCTTGGGTCTTCCGGGTCGACAAATATATTCTGAGCATGGAGATCGCCGTGCCATAAAACTGAGGCGTGGGTGGCTTTGTTCTCTGGGAGAACATGAGGTGCCACCTTAAGATAGTTTTGCAACGAGGAGAGCTTTTTGGAGAGGCTAGGCTGGTATTGTCCGGGTCCAGAGAAAAGAGCTTCGGGCATTAAGGGATACCGGAGACCTGCCTTTGCAGTTGCAATTTCCCTCTGCGCAATAGCCGTCATAAATCCTGTGACTGTTGACCCTAAAGTTTGTGCATGGATAAGCACAAGATAGTAACGTCATACGAGTCGGAGATGAACTTACATGGACCACGCTCAATATCCAACTCGCCTCTCCCGAAGTCAAAAAAAGAACGGTGATTAGTCGGTCCAATGGCAAACGTTTTGCTTCGCACTTCGTTCCCAGTTGAATCAAGATATAGGGGCGATGTAGAATCCGAATTGTCAGGAAGGTCGTCTCTATAGTACAAGGACCCGAACTTGGAGAATTTTGTAGCTGCTAGGCGCCTTTCAATATCAACAAGCTGGTCCAGGATTTGGACTTTCTGCTTTCCTTTGACGGTGTCCCATACGTCGTTAAGTACTACGCCAGACTGCTTCTCCATGAAGATGTACTCTGCCCCGAGAGGGTTCTCTGGTGCTCGAGAACTCCATGCGTACACTCTCGGAACAGGGAGGTTCAGAACATTCCTCAGCTAACCAAGTTAGTACCGACGCGCAAAATAAACTCGCAGTAGAAAAAAAAGCAGGCCATACAAAATCCATAGTTGCAACCTCACTAGCTGTCGTGAAGTGTGGTCTGCCTGCATTGGGATTTGGAAGTTTCGCAATAATGTCGCGTCCATCGTCCATGGTAAGCTGAAATACTTTGTTATATTGGCCCTCTGAGATCTTTAACACGTGAGTGCATGATCTTGATCCGACCGCAGAGGCAGCTAGTTGCAGAAGCGTTGAGAGGTCGAACTTGACATAGCGACAGGCAAGTTGTTGTCGCTCGTTCCAAAGCCAACGACCTGAGGTAAACCGATTGAGAGCCTCAAGGTCATGCTTTGAATCTGCGATACTCTCGGTCTCATTCATTTTGGAATGGCCAGAAGAAAAAGAAGCCGCCATGAGTGCATCGTGGGGGTTACAGCGGGAAAGCGTGGCTCCTAGAGTTCTTCTCAGGAAGGGGCCTCGGATAGCCTTCATATCTAGCGTTGCATAAAGGTGGAGAGATCTGTCATTTCGCTGTCTATTAAGAAACAGCGTGTTGTGAATCCCGGTTGTAGGGGCTGGACAGAAGGCGGGTGGTGACCTGAGCCGATTCGTCTTAGCTGTCTCTACAATCGCCAC